CAAACCAGAAACGTCAAAATTGCTATCACCAATAAACAGTAACGTTATCATCGTTAAACACACTTCATTCAAAGATGACAGAAATATGGCTGCCCCCTAATAATCGACCAAACATTAGTCGACCAGAAAGGTCATTAGTCGATTTCATTGGACGCTTAGTCGCAGAGAAAAAAAAAAGTGAATCAGGAGCTGCACCTTGTCAAAATAAATCCAAACCTATATGACTGCACCATGTGGGACTTTAATGTGAAAGGACAGACACAGGAAGTGTCCATGCTCAGTAGTCAGACAGGAGTCAGGTTAATGTCCAGGGCTGGTACCTGCGGTTATTCCACAGGCTAGTTAATAACATGTCGGGCAGGAAATCCAAAGTGTGGGATCATTTTGACAAGGTGAAGGACGAACCCAAGGTGATATGTAAACTCATCGCCATTGGTCGACTACAAACATGACGTATCATCTGAAACATGGAAGTAGCTACATGCCCATTAGCCCACAGCGTCATTAACAGGCGGCTCGCTCAGTGTGTGACGTGCACTTGTAGACAAAATATAGGCCTATATTAGGTGGGTTTGGCAGTTCGCGGTTTCTGGTTAAACAAAAAGGAGCTATCTCTTTAACAAAAGCCCCGTTTCCACCGAGCAGTTCAGTTCAGTGCACTTTTTATAGTACCAATAGAACCGTTCCATACTGTTCCCATTTTTGGTACTGCATATATTCTAATCCCACTCTCAAAAAAAGAAAAAAGCATGGCAGTGCATCATTCCTGTGGGCTATGGCAGCACTACACCCCTGAGCTTGCCTTAAGGCCCATTCGTCTGTATCCGGATCCGTATTTAACGTTGAGCATAAATGGGCCTTAAGAAGGACTTAACTCTGTGTCACCGCTGATGAGGAAATACAGGAAGTGCTGGATGGAGCGGTGAGTGACAACAACCCCGCCCACATTTAAGAGGACTGTCTGTGGTGGAAGTGCTAGACGGACCTAGGGTCTAGGTACCATGTGTAAAGGGTTACTGTTGGTTCCAAAGGTACTGTACCGAAAGTGTTTGGTGGAAACGGGGCAAAAAATGTTTATCTCTGTAGGGATCCTTTCCATAATGTTGTCAGACACAACACGCTCTTGTAGTTGACTTAAATTGACGGTGCACAAATGTCCCAAGTGGTTCCTTTACAGCCTGTTAAGCAGCTGCTGATCGTTGTGGTCTCCCAATACTGAACCAATTTTGTAAAAATCCTTGTCACCATTAGTCACTTAGTCATAAACTCTTAGGGGAATAGGCTTAAAAATATCAAAGTTACCCTTCTTATACACTGTATCCATTAAGCATGCATTTTCAGCCTTACATTTGCCAAGTATCGTAGTTATGACTGCACAAGATTTGTACATCTTGGCATTAAGGATAAGAGCTGCGGGACATAACGAGCTCCTTGTAGCTTTGCTCGATAATTTCAACACTTGTCATGTGACACGGAGAGGCACTATGAAGGTCAACTACACTCTGGTAATTAGATTATTATAATATGGGCCTCGCTCCAGTTCCTTCAGACTGTATCCTCGTTTATCTTTCAGCACAGATGTCCACATTGGCCACGGACGCAAATCAGGATTTAAGAAATTGTTTGATGTGGATAAAACGTCTGAAAGACTTGGAGCGAGGCCTCAGCTTTAATAGTCCTCATAAATTTATTGTTTGAGTAATTTCCAAAGAGGCTGTAGTCTTTTGTATAAACTGGATCTCACCTGCTGTGCCTGTGCAGTGTTCAAGGCCCCCTGCCTGGACGTGAGCTCAGCAGGAATGGGTAGGCTCCACGCCTCCTCAATACTAGGAAGCATTTTACTCTTATTCTGCAGACTACCTGGCTGTAGGTTACACAACTGAGCCTAGGAGAAATTGTGTAAGACACAAACTTTAGTGCTGAACTTGGGTTTAACAAAAAAAAAAAAAAAAAAGGCGCTACAAATACTACTGCTTACTGTAGGTGGTGTTTTAGGAAACCGTATACAGAATATAACAGAAATGTTCAATGCCATGAAGGTATGCTTTACAATTACACGTGAGAAAAATGTGTTTAAACACACCAATATGAATCATTATTCATATCTCAGTGGTCAGAAATCAAAATGACAAAAGCACAATCTGCATTTTAAAAAGCCAACTGCTTTGGCAATGCTTGGCAATAAACACAGCACTTTGAGACACACACACACCAGAATACTGCACAACATCTAACAGACAGGGCTGGGTGATGGTGGTACCAGTCGAAACAGTAGCCGTACCTGCAGCAGCTTGATGCGTTGTGTGAGTGCAGCAGTGTTGAGGCAGGCCTTGCTGCGTGTAGCATTGATGTAGCACTTGATAGCGTCGTGCGGCTGCCCGCAGGATTCGTAGAGGGTGCCCAGGTCCATCCAGGCGGCCGCGTGGCTGTGGTCCAGTTGAACGGCGCAGATGTAGGCCTGCAGTGCATCCATAGGCTGGTTCTGCTGCTGGTAGAGCACCCTGGAGGCAGAGGCAACGGGAGTGAGATGATTCTCGTGCCATCTTTTAGGATTTAGGTCTTTATCTTTCTGAGCCATCCCAACTCTCAGAGGACACACCCCACCCTCCCACCCTCCATACATCTATCTATAGATCCTGGCTCAATCTCCTGCTGCTCTGTTCTCCACCTGCTCCCTATGTCCTCTGTTGCACTGCAGCTGCTTTATCTCCCCGAGGTATTTTCAGAGCCACTGGCGCCCTGAGCTATAACCACCCTTGAACAGATGAACTTTTATAAAACGGCTAATTCTCCCTCCCTCAAACTCACAGACATTAGCATACAGAAGTTCTGTTCTTACCCTATGGAGCACCAGGTGTCAGCACTGGCCTCCGACTTATCAATGGACTGGCGGTAAGAGATGAAGGCATCCTGCACCTTCCCAATACTGGAGTAGCACCTGGAGGAGAGAAGATGGACAGAGGAAAAAGGCACGAGATATGAGAGGAGCATGTATATAACCAGATAAAAGTCTCATCTGGTGAAGAGGGCAGCGTAAACATTGTAGCATAGAAAGACATCTGCTCACAGGAAATGCAGTGCTGTTTAAGTGCAGCAAATAAGCTTGTTGCAATGATATCGTTTCCTTAATTTGCTCAGAATTTCAGTCGTCCATTTACTTTACAGCTTCGTTGTAGTGGCAAAGTTGTAGTTGTAGTGGCAAAGTTGTAGTTGTAGTTCCTTTGTAGCCTCATGCTAGCTTTTCATTCGTGGCAATTGAGTTTATGACTCAAAAATCATAAAAGCATGTTCAATTGTGAAGATTATCTTACTGAACAAAACATAGAAGTACCTTATGTCAAGCTACTTAGATAAAACACGCATCCTCAGTACACTGGGCTGTGACAGCTACATGAGTAAAAGTTTAAGAGAATTTCCACCTCTCCAATCACACACAAAAAACCGCTGTCTCACATTGTCGGATAATGCAACCTGAATACTGGCAATTTGGCTCAGAGAGCTTTGACAAATAAGAAAACAAAAGCAAAAGTTGCAGTCCCACTGCACAATAGCATGCATCTCAAACAGCACTTGCATGACGGCAATGAAATGTTGTGTTGAAGTTCACAAACAGGGCTGCATGTCAACTTCTTTTTTATTGTTTTGCACACTGCACTGACGCTGCAGAGGTTAAAAGGTTTGTAGTACAGGCTGAAATTGTAGCAGGAGTATAAAAGTATCAAGTAAATCCATTTGGGTGAGTTTAAAAAGTCATTTGTTGGACACAGCACTGAAAACATCATTTTAAATATATTCATTGATAATCATTACTTAGGCCTGTGCACATAGCAAAGAGTGATTAAAGTCTCTTGTCTGAAATGTCTGTATCATCACTGTGCTGCAGTTTTATACACACATCAGTCGCCTCCATCCAGGCGTCATCTCACGTCACATGAAAGACTACAGCTGCCGGGTAGAATTCAGATACGTTACTGATTTACTTCACACATAAACAAGCACGCAAACCCTGACCTCAGACAAACAAGCAGCTGTCTCACACACAAGTAGCACAAAGCTGTATCGCACAGGTGCTGCTGTGGAAATTTCAATCACTGCACGGACTGATTTACATGCAACATACATCACGTGTCTGCATATATGTATATGTGTTTAAATATCCACACAGTAGCCAAGCCAGCTCACGCTGTGTGGCATGGGTGAACATTTCTCTCTTCTGCAGTTGTGCAGGGATTCAGCTGATTTACAGATAGAGGTTCAAGACTTATGAACTACATCCTTCAGTGAAGGAAGTAACGGTAAGAAATGATAAGAAAGGTGGGGCGTCTATGCAGGTGAAATGTTAAGTCTTGTATGTCAGCATGTTGAGGGTCTTATGTGCAGACTGCTGAATGTAAAAAGAGGATGACAAACAACAGACAACTTTTTAATATCCAGGATGTAGCTGAGCCTAGTCAACACCTTAAGGCACAGCACAGACCTCGAGGGGGGTCGTTTACTTAGTCGCTCCAACGCCTGCGTGCATTCAGCCTGTTTTTTTTGCCCCCAGAGAAACCCACGTCAACAACACAGGAACAGGCGAATTTGAAGCACGTGTCCTCGTCGGGCCGATGGGGCACTGATTGACTATATTCAACCAACAAAAAGCTCGTGTAGCCAAGATTATTATCGCTGCACACTGGCAGATGGCTTCTAGGTAAAACAAACAGTCTAATCTGGACTCGGGCTCTGACAGGTTTGAGGCGAGCCCTGCAAAATACACAAACACTCACACCCTTGTTTGCCTTACCTGCCGAGAAAGTACCAGGACTGGCCAGAGTTCGGGTCTGCTTCTAAAGACTTCTGCAGACACTGGATGGCATAGCTGTCCTTGGTGCCTTTGTCCCCCAGCTGCTCCACCGTGTGATGCATCCAGCCTGGAGGAACAGAGAAAGATCAGAGGGGAGTCTTAAAGAATCAGCTCAAACACAAGAGTTGACTTTGCTCTTGTTCCTTAGTTACCATGTGCCGAGTAGAAACTAAAACGTGTGGAATTAGATCACATAAAAACAGGTAAAGTCAAGCACCTGAGGCCAGAGACACAACGTGCAACGAAAAAGATAAGACCGCTGTCTGATGTGCAAATGGATCACACTCATAAACAACACAAATGGCTCGTCCTTCCAAAGCTCTCCAACCAAAAAGGAAGCGAGGACAGAGGCAGACAAAGAGGGGGAGGGTGCGCGCACACACACACACACTTCAAATGCTCTCATATGGACCAACCTTTACAAACAACTCCTCCCTGCTCTACAACCACACACACACACACACACACACACACACACACACACACACACACACACTCCAGACACTCAGACTGTGCAGTGATGTGCAATTCACAGCAAATGAAAAATCTCTCGGGAAGACAGACGCAAGCAATCACAGACTCCCCAGTTCCTCTCCTGTACACCTGTGGCAAGCTCCACAGGTCACCATGACAACCTCAGCAGGCTAGACTGGGAATGGTTTTTACAACTGGGTGACTAGTGGGGGTGGTGTCTACACAGTGGAGGGGCAGGGAATGGAAATGTCTCTGCGTTTGCACTGAGAAATGTGTGAAATAGTGTTAATGTAACATTCCAGCTGCTGCTGCACTTTCACAGCTTTGACCCTGACGGTGATCTTAAAGCTTTAATTCATAAAATGTCATGAAAGCAACGGTTTCCTTTTCTCTCTTAAAGCACAGTTTCAATACAAAAGCTGACTACACTTTGAGAACAACCATTGCATCACATTATGATCTGATAAACCACCAAGTGCTGGTGTATTTTAATCTCAAGGCTACAAACGATCTGCTTTTTTCACCAGATCTGAAAACATCATAAGCAAATTACATTTTCTTGGCAATCAATCGTCTCTTATGATTCGACACAATACAATAAACAACAAGATCAAGAACGAGATCTACACCGTTCCATTTCTGTTTTATGTCAATACGGAACGCTACACTTTTAGTCACCCAAGAGCACTGGACTGTTGGTTTAAATATGCGACAGAATCCTGCACCGGGTTAGGTACCCGGTGGGTAACCTGCAAAAAGCTGTGTCACAGGTAAAAAAAATATGTATATATAAATTCACGGGTACAGACATCAGTAAAAATAAACTACACGTGGGTGGGCAGTGAGTTAAGAGCAAAAATATATTCTTTATTTTTAAGAATAAAACGCAAATGTGCAGTATATGTGTAATATTTCGACATCTAAATCATTATCAAGCCTCAATTCCTTTAATTTTTTTTTAAGTCAGTGACACAAGTGTAACCTTTGACCCCATGGTCACATTGGTCACTGACGTGGAGGATTCCAGCCATGAAACTTTGCGGCCCGAGGATGAGGTGGCAGCCTACATGGAGTTCAAGACACCCAAGGAGGATCCCTTGGAGGTTTGATGGTGGTGGAAGGAGCATGCTAAAATGTTTCCTAACCTGGCAGTGATTGAATGTTTTCACCATCCAGTCAAAGAGACCTCTCCTACGCTGGATTTGGAATTCAAGAACGGAGAACCAGCTTAATGTGAGGGACTGGAGACTGTGTGTGGGTGCAGGAGGGTCGCAGGACCTTTATTAATGGGTGCGGCTTTGACTTAGACATAATGACAGGTAACGGGTCGGTTCTGGTACTGGGTTTAAAAAAAAAATGGACCAGTGCAGGACTCTGATATGCATCAAAATCAAAGCAGCAGAACGTGTCCTGTCCAAAGGTCGAAGGATACCAAGAAATATCAAGTCTTTTCATTACCAAGACAACAAAGTCACCCACTGACACTCGCCAACATCTGGCTTCCCTCTTCAGCGGGACAGGCATCATGATAACGATATTAAGCTAGCAGTGCGAAGTCAGCAGCTGTAAGTTTGTTTCCAGATCATAGTAAAAATATTTGCCTGTAAGTATGAGCACACATTTCATTTTATGTTGCATATGAAGGAAAATGGATGGTTTGTTAAAACAATATCATCTCAATGCTAATTTGCAATAGCATATTAATTGCAATTCTCATTACGTGTTAGCATCAAGCTAACAGACTAAGCTCAAAATACGTGCCGCATGGTTGCAGCAGTTAAGTCAGAATAAGGATTATTACCAAGTGGGTTTTCACGAACAAGGAATTTGCCTTGGTGTTAGGTAGGGATGCACCGAAATAAAAATTTGTGGCCGAAGCCGAATAATATTAAACGCTTGGCCGAATACCAAGTACTGAATACTGAATGTCGTTTTTTAGTTTTTGCAGATGAACCCCCTCCAGATTAGTGTTGTCACAGTACCAAAATTGGGACCCACAGTACAATACCAATGAAAATATCATGGTTCTGAGTAGTATCAGGATACCACAGCAAAAATGAGGCAGATGTGCCTTTTGTCATTTATGAAAAGATAAATCACTTTTCTATAATACATCAAAGATTTTTCAATGGAATAAATTACTTACTGACTTATTCACACTTCAAAAACAGCATCAATCAGTGATTAACATAGGGGGGATCAAAATAAAATAAATAAATAAAATAAGAATCAACCAGCCACCCTCCTCCCCTGACAGTCCCTTCATAAGTAAAGAACAGTCCCTAAAGAGCGCTGAGGTTTGTGGACCAAGAGAGAAAAGTGAACGGCTCGTTTCTCCTCCTATACGCCACATACTGTGTGCCGCCATGGCTCGGCTGTTCAGGTACTTTTGGGCAGTCATGACAACAAGTTATTCACCTGGCCCCTGACTTCTCCGTCGCCGGTAAGCCGTTATCATGCGCTTCCGTATTTGACAGGAATACGTATTCCTGTCCATGTCTGTGACCCCCGTTCAACCCACAACCGGCGGGATTCGCCGTTTTGTTTCTGCTGCTGGTTGAAATCTGAACTCACACAGCGTGCTGAATGATTTATTTTGCCCGCACAAAACTATTTTTAGTCGCAAATGCGAGTGCGGTGACGGACGGAGTACAATGTTGGCAGTGTGGTGATATTTTACTCCGTCTGTCACCGAACGCTGTTTGATTGCGTCATCAAAACACGCCGCTATTATTCAGCCTTGCTTTTCACTTATTCCACCGAATACTGAATGTGTGTTTTTTTTGCAATATTTGGCCGAATATATTCGGTTACCAAATATTCGGTGCATCTCTAGTGTTAGGTGCATATAATAAACACATTCAGAGGAAATAAAACTGAAGGCAAAGTACTGCAGTCTGGAAGAAAAATACAGAATAGAAAAAATAAAATAAAACAATAAATAGGACACTATGAAAATGTTTTAACATAAAAATGTATGAAATGGAAATGATTGTTACTATGTTATTCCATTGTTACTGTTTAGAGAGCACTGCCAACGTGTATGTTATGTTATGTCATACCCGCTCCCTTTTTTTTGCTTCTATGATGCTGGCATGCGGTCTGAAATCACACACGGGGGCATCATGGTGCGAAGTAAAGAGGGGACTTTGTAGCAGCCCGATAAAAAAGGCTGTAGTCTTAAGGTTTGTCCGCAAACCTAAATGTATGTATCCATCTGCAAATGTGCAGCTCGACCGTTACCTTTCAGTGAGAATATTTCACCAACATGAGGTTGTAATCTGTGCATTTAAAATCATAAACGAATAATAATGTAGAATTTCTAAGAACTGAATTAAAGAGGTTGGTTAATCTGAGTTGTCGTGACGATGTGTCATAGCACATTTACATTAGCTCCAAACATTCCTATGCTTCATGTGGTGTCACTTGTCACTGTGCAACACTGTAATTAGTGCCTTCTTGTGTTGCATGCTGCCTCTGGAAAAAAACCTGAGCTAACCTCACAGCCTGGTAGCTCTCTGGTGACTTTGTGCACCTAGATCTAACAAAGCAAAGCAAAACCATTCAGTCCGACGCTTCCACAAAACTAATGGAGCTGCTGCAGAGTGATTTAGTTTAATTATTTAATTTAAATTCCATCACAGACAGATAAGATGGACAAAACTGATTCTATGATTTAATTCATCTTTCCTGTCTTCTCCTCTTCTCATCAGATTCCTACTGTCTCTGAGTTGCACACAGCCATATTCATCATGCATTCATCGACACATTATTTCACATTTGCAGTGGGGACACATTTAAATTAACATTGCAGTGAATGTTGAAGGGTGTGTAATGGAAATTCAAACTCTGAGGTCACACTGGAATCACTGGAGAGAATTTCAGAGTGATTTTCTTTCTGTCGCATATTTATCAGCAGAATAGTTTCCTGAATCACCTCTGCTTCTCACTTTAACCATAATTTTGCATGTGAGTGCACGTGCATGTCTGCACCCTGTGTGGGGGAAGGGAGCAAGGGAAACAATGCTCTCTTGCAACACAAACGCTCAAATAAACACTTTGGAAAACAGGTAGAAAGTAGCAGGAAAGAAGTTTGTGTGATGTGGAAAGAAATCTCATTGAACAACATGATGCCAACAAAAAACACAAAGACGCCCTAACAGCACCAAAGTATCATGCACGATCACTTCACTGCCACACAAACTAGTTCATGACACAGAAACAGACACAAAACACTGATGCAAATTTCAGCCTGTGTATCTGTCAGACTCCACATGAGAAGAGGAGAGTATGGGTTGATATAATCGAGGGACACTCACCAAGCTGTTGCAGTGTAGTCGCCTTCACCTGTGCAGGAAGATTTTCCGTCTGCAGCAGACTCTCATAAGCTTCCTTTGCCGCTCTGTATTTCTTCTGCAGGCAGAATGAGAGGGGGAGGACACGAGAGGACGGAGAGAGACAGAGGGGTTGTTTAAGCCAGACAGGAGGGTCAGTGTGTTTTATGGTTCTATCTGGACAGACACAAAGAGTCTTAAGACCTCCTCACACTTGTAATGACCAGAGAAAGACACACACACACACACACACACACACACACACACACACACACACACACACACACACACACACACACACACACACGGGGGAGGGTCAGTGTGGAAGAGGACAGGCCAGACTCAACACGTCTGGCAGGTTTAAGTGTGTGTCTGCGTCGAGGTGTGTGTCCACTCCAGTGCACGCTTTGTGTTTTGGGGAAACCTGAGCTGGCCGGTCTGAGGTGAGCCCACTGTTTGTTTTAACTTGGCGACCTTATTGACCTTGAGTCTGAACTCATACGTTGAGGTGTGTGTGTGTGCGTGTGTGTGTGTGTGTGTGTGTCGGCTGAATGTTCTCTTATCAGTTCGGACAGTCTCCTTAAAAGCAACCTGCCCCCATCACCAAGACTCTGCAGCTTTAAATGCGCGCACACACACACACACACCCACACACACACACACACACAGTCTGGTCCCGGACTCTTCCTGTCTGCACACAATAAAGACACCTCGGGGTAAACACTGACACTCGGGGCACATAAATGAGAGAGGCTCTTAGTGGTTCCTTCCTGCTTCGACTAATGATTGTTCTCGAGCCAGGCCTGGGCCAGGCAACACACACTGATAGGACACAATATTTGAATAGCTGTTTGGCTCCCGTGATCAATCCAAAGCACTCAACACAACTAGGGCTGCAAATAACGATCATTTTCCTTATTGATTAAACTGCCAAAGATTTTCTAGATTACCTGATTAATAGTTTGGTCAATAAAGTGTCATAAAACTGCACAGAAGTCCATTGAAGTTTGTTAAAGTCCAAGATGATGTCTTTAGATGTCTTTCCAACCCAAAAGATATGCAGTTTAATGTGATATAAAACAGACAATAGCAGAAAATATCCACATTTAAGAGGATGAAAACAGCATTTTCCACCATTTTTGCAGGAAAAATTGCTTTAACAATAATTCATTTATCCTAATACTTAGCTATTGTTTTTCTGTTGTCCAAAAAAAGCTTTTAATCTCTTTGTCTACCAATCGTTGCAGCTCTAAACTCAATTTAAGATTCGCTGAAATAAAGAGCTAAAATATAACTAATACAGAAAATCATCTGTTCAGTTTTATGTACAGTTTTGAGTGCTGCTGCTGCAGACTGAAACTTTCCTGGACATCACTTTCCAATGAGTCCAGAAAAAAAACAGCATCAAGTTGTTTCAATAAAAGGAAATAACAGACATGCCTGAAGCAACGAGCACCTGCTGTGTTCAATATTTTTTCATATTCTTTCATTTTTTAATCCATCCAAGGGCTCATTTCACAGCTGAAATATGTTCTCAATAAAAAATATAAATCACAAGTCTCCTTCAAAAATAATCCAAGGCACACTGTAGAGTTTTTACAGAATTAAAATGCCTTTACTTTACATATTAATAAGAATTTCAAAGGACCAATGCATTGCGACTGACATAGGTCTTTATAAGGTTTATTTTGTAAGTTCCTTTATAGTCAGTTGAACGCCTCATCTGCAGCAGCTGTGCAGTAAATAACTGCATGTCAGCAGCACAACTGCAGAAGCTGCAGGACTCTTATCAGTAGCACCTTTCACACTGCCTGTTCAAGGCGGAAATGTGCTGTAATTCTGCCTCGCCGTTCTGTGCACAGATACGACCATGGAACGGGGTGCCGAGTTGTTCCACCTTTAAGCCAGCAGCAGAGATAGTGACAGAGCCAAATCAATGCCTGTGTGAAAAGTTTGAGCAAGCAGGGTGGGACAGGTGGGACACTTTGACAGCTTTCTACATGCGCGACCCACCACTGGGAGATTTTAAAAAAAACAGCTAACAGCAGTTAGCAGCTAACTCAAAGAAGAACAGCAGTTTAAAATGTTTGTAAACTGGAGATCCAATAAGGTCAAGGACCTCATTACCCTCTGAGCAGAGGACGAGATTGACAAAAAAAAAAGATGAGGTCTTAAAATGACCTTTCCTTATGTAGTTAAATGAACAAAACACAAGTGACAAGCACAACATAGCATGAACTGTCGTAGGTGTCGTAGGTCCCTCAGACTTAGTATCCCCTTTTATACTGCCAGATTTTCCGCGAATGTTGGGCTGTTTTGCCAGCTAGCTGCTAGCATTTATACACACAGAGGCAGATTGGCGAGTTGATCCGAGGCACCCAATTTTCCGCCACGTAGGGTAGACATATTGGCGGAACCCTTTTAGTTTAAACAGACAACGGGAGGGGCTGTTTAAGACTTGTGGGAGGAGCTGTTGATGACGCCGCACGTGCGACCCACTGGCTATGGATAAACAGGAAACAGCTGATAGCAGGAATTAGCGAGCAGCTAGTAGCAAGAGGGAAACGCAAACCTGACAGACACTGTAAAGATGAGCAACTGGGGAGACAAGGAATTGCGTCGTCCTTGTCCTCGCAAACGAAGAGGCCATTGACCGTCAGATGACGGGGACGGTGAAGAACGGGCCGATTTATGGGAGACTTGCCGCCTGACCATCGCTGCCTGACTATCCGCAGCTTCCATCCTACGTCACGGTTTACTTCACACGCTGAGCTACACGTTTTGTTACTTGTTCACGCCCCCCACTGCCCCGAAAAAGGCACATTCTGTATAAACAAAAGTAGGTAGGCGGCATTTTGCTGCACTCCCCGATTTTGTTTCTATACTGCCAATGCTGAAAAAAGACTGATTGGGCTTTCCTGCAAATTTGCACAATTCCTGTCTAAAAAGGGCTAGTGTTACCGAAACTGAGTCGAGTGAGACTGTTATAAAAGAAACAATGTGTAAGGGCCTACGTCCACGTAGCATTTTCTCCAGAAGAAAAGTGGTGGCAGGGCACTGGGGAGTTCCGGGCGTGGGTTTTGTGTCTATGGCAACAATATCTTGACATTAACGACAGCTAGGTAGCTAATGCAACACTACATTAACAGAGGGTCGACTACACAGTTCACAACAACCTCACAATGGTTCGGTGGTTAGAGCACAACATCCAGTGTCTGCTGGCCGATCTGATCCGAAAAAATGGGCTTTTCTGTCTCTGTTGTGACAGCTGCCTAGCTAGAGGAGAGCATGACATCACCAGTGCCTTTCTGAAAAGCTTTTTTACCTCGCTGGTCGCATTCTCTTCATTTGGAACAACTAAAAAAAGATGCTGGTGTTATGTGGACACAGGCCCTCAGGAGAGAGGACAGGCCTTTAACTCCTTTCACACAAAACTGTTGCTCAGCAAAGATCAGGAAATACAACCAAATTGTTTATTTAAACCAGCATGAATATTACTTGTTTAAAAATTAGGCTTCATATAATATGTCAATTCTGAATCATTCGTTTGATCTAACTCAGACAGAAGCTCAAGAGAGAGAGAGCGTCATGGCATTCAACGATTACGGCACCCGACATACTGACACAACACTACTTTATCCTGTTAAAACAATCCTCACAACTTGGATTCATTTTTATGAAAAACCCTTTTGATTATTTGATCTGAGGACCCTTACAGACTGAAGGAATATGAATACCTTACAGGGTAATGGAGGAATGGACACATAATTTGAGGTAGCCAACAACTTGGTTTTATACATTTAAAAGAACTTCTATTTAAAAAGAATGAACTGCTTGGGAACCAGCCCAGATTTCTAACTGAGACAGGTGTTTATTTGTCATTAAATGTGGGGGACAAGGCGTTCAACTGAAGTTTTACTGTAGGTTGGTAAAAACATGGAGAAATTGTCAGTAATGAACTCAAAGCTTGCCACAGCTTTGTTGCTATGGTTGCCTGCAGCTTCACCCACCTGACTCATAACTGCAGTTAAACATTTATTACGACTGTGTTACAGGTGCACTGATACACACTCTTAATGGACTCCTACAAACCTGTTAGAATCTGTCCACCTTTGTTAGTGGAGGATTTACAACCATATGATTCATCACCTTACTTCCTCTGGTTGACTTTCATTCATAATTCTGTTTTTTTACACTGTGTACTTCAGACCGGTGAGCTCAAGAGCAGAGTGCCTGCTCTCAGGAATGCTGATGTGGCATCCTCCCTAGAACTACCGCTTCAGCAGGTGGGCTGAAGTATTAACGTCGCACACACACTTTGATATCAGAAGCACGCAAGAGTCAATAAGCTAGTGACTGGGCTCGGGCAGTATCTACTTTTCATACCTGATACATTCCTGGAATTTGAGTGAAAATGGAAAGAAGGGTGTGTTTAAAGTGTCCTACATTTTAAAAACAGAAATAGTAATTGATGCTTACCTGGATCTCATACAAATGAGCGATGTGGAACTGAACTGTGGAGAAAAAAAAGAAGGGTGAGAGTTTAACTTGTCAAAAAATCATGGATATTACACAGTCACTCTGCAGACCTCAGTGGGTACAGATTGCAAACAGTATGGAGCACAGATGGGAGGGGGAGTGGGACAGTTTCCCCAGAGTGTACATGTAATCTGAAATCACAGTGTGTATGTGCAATGTGCTTGCAAGCACTTCCAGTTCTCTCTCCATGTGCTGTCTCCTAGGCAACCCCAGTCTTGGGCAGAGTCAGCAGGGAAACGGCAGCAGAGAGGAAAAATTGCTCTGTAGAAATATTCCTGCGCCCTTTCAATATGTGCTCCCTGCCGCTGACAGGCTGGTACATCACATCTGATATTGCATTACAACAGCAGCACGTGGCTGGTTTGTGTGTGGCCTCTGGTGATTGCAGCAACAGTACTTACTTTCAGCTTTGGACAAAGTGCAGAGATTGGAGTCGATCAAAGCCAGCTGAAAATGCTGCAGAGAAGAAAATAAGAGGAATTTTATTACGGACGGAAATATATAAACTTTTACACAATCTGCATTATGCAAATATCACCTAATTACAGCTGCTCTCAGAACATAAAGTGCAAGACTTGATGCCTGCAGAGGAACCAGGGAGAAATTCTTGATCTCCTCTTCATCTGCTTCACTAAAAGCCCCGCCAGATCCACACTAAACCATGAATGAACCCTGGTGACCGTAACATGAGAGGACACTGATCGCCGGAGGGGCTGAACCTTAGATATTCTTGTCCCTGGTTCACTCATCTTGCTCCAATCTTCCCTCCTTCCTCGCGTCAAACTGGACGACACACTCCTCAAAATGAGACTCCGGCGTCCTCTCCCACCATGTGAGCTGAAGACAGCGTTGCCGGGTAAGACAGATGTCTGCAGAGGCTTAGCCTGGCTGCCAAGGCGTGGCACGCTACTAGCCAATATCTCCGTCCAGGGTCATTGAACAGATTAGCCTGTGAGTACATTACACACATCAGAGACAACTCTCTGGGTTTTCTTTTCCTGACCCCCTCGGGCTGCCATACAACTCTTACTTTCTCCACATGCTGACATGTTGCTAAGCCATGTTTACTCTGACCTTATACTTCACTGTAGTGCATCAGAAATGTGCAGAGCAGATTAGCATACCAGCAGCTGAAAGGCACCTGAGCTGAATTCAAAGAGAGGTGTCTGCTCCTGTTAATCTGTAAAGGGAGCAGTGTGGCGCCCATGGGTGGCTTCAAGGTGACAGGCTCTATTGCAGTCACCAAAAGCTGCACCACAGTCTCACACAGCTCCGTGCTTTTAAAAAGGCACCGGCAGTGTCTCTTATCTGGGTCAGTTAAAACTCACAGCTCCTAAACATTAATACCTCCAACACAAGGCTCTAGCACACAGTTAGAGAACAGACTGTACTGCTGCTGCTGCCCTACTCCACCGGTCAACTGTGGTGGATGTCTTGGAGAGAAAGCAAAAAAAATGCTGGAACCTTAAAGGCAAAATCTGCCATCTAGGCTACACGTGCACACAGACACAGGACTTAGAATAAACTCCATTTAAGCAGAGCTATGAGCCACAAAACATCAGACACACTCATCACAGCCAGATGCCTAAATGTCAGAGAACGCACACACACATACACACTCACACACACACACACACAATTGCGTTACCTAGATCGCTGGCACATCACACTCCTCCTGAAACCCCACTGCATCCTCCTGTAGATCTCTCCCTCTGTCTCTCCTCTCCTTCCCTTCCTTCTCTTTCACACTTGCTCTGCCACCAGGCAGATAATGCAGCAGGATTGTCAGCTTGGCATTCCACCTCCCTCCCCATGTCTCGCCTTCCTCCCTCTCTCACTCCTCTCTCCGCTATCTTTCTTTCTCTCTCCCTCTCCCTCCTCCCCCTCTTCTATCCTGGTGTCACTGATTACTATTCAGCAGACGGCTGCAGTGGAGAGTGCAGAGAGATGACACACAATACCTCAAAGCTGGAACCGGCAGCGCACACCACCTCTCCCCGTCTCCCTCCTCCCCTCTATCTCACCTCCTTCCTCAGCTCAAAGCTCCTCTCTACACACACACACACACACACACACACACACACACAGCCAACTCATCACCTTGCAAATACACAGCGCACTAACACACTCTTACAAGTCTCTCATTGGCTAAATTAGCAGCGACTGGAGGGATGAAGTGCAACACAAGACGCAGTCGCTGGCTCCTAATTAGGTTAAAATGTATTCTAAGAACCTGCAGTGTCTCTCCATCACACGCCTCAATCTCTTCCTCCATCCAGCGTGCTCAAAGGGAAAGAGGGATGAATGAAGAGGAAGCACCATGAAACATGCATCCTTTCTTCCCTTCCTCCCGGCACTCATCATCTGCAGCAAACTGTCTTTTCCAACAATTTCCTGTTTTCCCCTCTTTCCATTTCCTCTCTCTCATTTCTCCCTCTCCTACCTTTATTCAATCTCTGCTCCTCTGAACGTGCACTCACCCTTTCCTGTAGATAACTGGGGCAGTCGTGTGTGTGTGTGTGTGTGTGTGTGTGTTGCTGGAAAAGAGCCAGGACCAAGAGGGAGGGGTGCATCCAACACAGAGTGAGGACGTGCAGCACGTGCAGCCCACTTAGCTCAATGCTGAACCACCACAAGGATCAACACACACACACACACACACACACACACACACACACACACAGATTCACACACATAGTGCGTCATCTCCGACACACACAGCCTTCATTTTAATTTTAACAGGGTAGACAGACTATCATGAACAACTGAAATCAACAATAATAGAATAAAATATTCAGTTCAGAGCTGCAACAATTAGTCAATTAATCACTTGAACAGAAAATTAATTGGCAACCATTTTGAGCATCAATTATTCTTTCAGGAACTATTCTATTAAAAAAAAAGCCAAACATTAGCTGATTTCACTTCTTTGTCATACACGATAATACACTGAAGAGCTTTGGATTGGTCGGATAAAACACACATTTTAAGATTTTACCTTGAGCTCGTGGAAATGATGCAGGGCACGTTTCACTATTTTCTGATCTTTTTGACAAAACAATTCAGGTTTTTACCAGGAGCTGAATTATCCACAGACGTCTCTTCGTCTCAGAAACAAGCAAAACAGGTAATTTAAACCCGTAAAAACTCTGAATAAAACGGTTTCATGTTACAAATCAGACCTTTTAACTACGATGGTCGACACAAAAAAGCGAATGGCCCTATCTAGAGCCAGTGTTTGGTTTGTCTGCTCTGGGCTACTGTAGAAACATGGCGGTGGAACATGCCGATTTACACAGACGAGGACCTGGTCCTTATATAGATATAAATGTCTCATTCTAAGGTAACAAAAACACTACGATTCTTACTGTCAGGTGATTATACACTAAAGAAAACCTACTGATGAGATTTTACTCCACTTTTGCCAATACATCCCCTAAATCCTACACACTGGACCTTTAAAGGACTAGCCAATGTTAAATATTTTGTTGAGCTGTGTGTTTACATGTTCCTAAACAATAGTTGAACCCAGAGAGATCTGTACTTTTAATCAATGGCATGGTCTGTGCCATTTGGTTACCGTCGCCTGTCAGTTGCATCATATCCCCTTTACACATGAGTCACGCCGGAATTCAACTGGATGCGTGTCTGTCGCGGAACGGCTACACTGGTTATCCGCTGCGTGCTCCGCTGTCCGTCAACACCCACCGGCTGCGTTTGCTGTGCGGAGCGGTGCAGCTCCGTCAGACAGCGGGAGTCACGAGGACCGACGAGATCTCGTGAATTCATGCATAATCGTGCAAATGTTTCTCCAAATCAGCAACATAATCAGAGAAACAGGAAATATTCCATTTAACATAAAGCCTTTAAGTTGAGATGCAAAAATTCTCTTAAAGGCTTAATAGCATCCTTCTGCATTGAAATGCATTCAAAAACCCTCCTGTGACCGAATGTCTGGAGCGGGACAAAGCCCCAGATCAGATAGCAGTCGGTCCCTAAAGGGGACCAGGACTCTCAGACAACAATGGATCCATAGGCTCCATTCAGAGAGCTCTTCGTTACCGCCTGCACATCTATGGCTCACAGGTGTCAGGAGACAGTAGACGGGGTTTAGCTCAGACAGACGGGACAGATGATCCGGCAGCCTTTGTAAATCTGACGACTAGTGAGGTCAAGTCTGTTTAGGCAGGAAGGAGGCCTCTATGACTACACGTCAGGTGTACAATACACACCGGCATGGACGGAAAATGATTCCAGTGTGTTCATGTTGGTATCAGTCACTTCAAAGTTTCATGTCGGCAGGTTCAATGTCTGCATAATTCAATAGATAGTAAGATTATTAAATGATTATTTTGAGCTTAATTCACAGTCAGTTTGTTACCAAAAAGACTAAATGCACCCCTACCTTTGTAATTTACACCACAGAATGATATGACCTTGAAAGGAAACATGATGTGGTGATGAAACTCATGTCTGGATGTCAGGCTGATATCTGCTTCTAAAGCTTACTGCCAGACCCTGCTTGACCCGACCGTGACCTGAACCAAAATAAACACCATGACTCCATCTCACTCGGCCTATCACACCATTAGACTTTTTCCAACCGTGCAGATTTACCTTTAAACTTGACTCGTAGTCTGTGTTGACTTTAAACATGAGTCCCAGTCTCAGATGAATCTCTTTAGCTCTTGAGAAGCTGGGGTCGATGTAAAGCACCTCCTGGAACGCCTTGATTGCCCTGGAAACAGACACAACAACAGAGTACGTTTATTAAAAACAGAAATGTATATTAATATTCAGGCCAACACTCATGGTGAATCTGGAAACACTCCATCTTGTTACAGTCTTGCCTCATTCTTGTACAACCAGATTAGCTGCTTTTAATCAGCTGTCGTTTCACAAACATTCACCAGAGCTGTGCAATATGGACACACTCAAACATCACAGTATGACTCAATACTTCAACACTGATAATATGGTGATAATTTAGGTATGAATGTGACCGGCTAACCAACTACAAAATGCAACCAAAGGGCACTGGGGACGGGGTGAAATCCTATTTTTGGAACCATCCCTGGAGGTGGTTTGAGATGTATTCCAGCCTGATGTTGACATGGTGAACGCAGTTCCTTTCTGCTGCTATCGGTAAACTTCTAAAAACCAACAAATCGCTTGTTGAATTAAAAAAAGTAAAGCAAATGGCACACTGAACTGAAAAGATACCAATAACAAAGTATACTTAAAATGCAGTGTCCCTCTGATACTGTCTTTTAACTAACTAGCAATATCGCCGTCTTCCGTAATGTATTTATCACACCAACTGACATCACAATGACAATTAAAGAAATAATAATATATTGTGCAACCCTAATGTTTGGGTAACGTCTGATGACATCATGTCATGAGGAGACAGAGTTTGGCCTGTATTTGTAGTTATTGCAGCAATAGCTTGCAGGTGCTGGGAGACGTTCCTTTCATCATATAAACACTTGTACACTTGTAGTATACCGACGCCTTTCCTTTACACTAATCACTCTCCTTACAGCCATCTGAAGGCAGCAGGTATCTGCTCCGCCTGCCGTCTCTAGCCCCTTTTACACTTTCTGTTCAGGGCCAAAATACCTCGCCTTTAAGCCGCCTCGCCATTGTGTATAAAAGGTACCTTCATGGACTGGGGGGACAGAGTTGTCTCACCTCTGAGCTGAGAGCGGAGGTAGTAACAGTGCGAAAACGATGTCTGTATAAATGGGGCAGCCAGCAGGATGTGACCACAGGTGGCACAGGTGTGACATTTTGACAACGTTAATGCCATTGTCATTGTTTCGAAAGCGCTGCCGACACATTATATGTCACACTAGAGGCTGACGCCGTTGTGTCACACGTAGGCTTGTCACGATACCAGAATTTCAGTAGTCGATACCAATACCAGTGAATTTCCACGATTCTCGATACTCATTTGACATTTAAGACGAAGGCTTGCCATGGAAAGAAAGACGAGAGTCAGCCTTCAATGTCCACATTCGTATCCTTAAAAAAATGTCGGGTTTAAACCGGGCTCGGGCTCGTAATTACAGTTAAAGGGACGGGACGGGCTCGGACAGAACATGCACAGGCTCAGGTGGGATCAAGCTGGATTTTTTAGGTCCTATCTAAGCTCTAGCACTTGTAGAAGCCATTGAATTTCCCCTCAGGGAGATTAATAAACTCTAGCAAAGACGATGGAGAACAGGTGTTCTTCTTCTGCGCTCGTCCTCGGCACAGACTGACGTGCGTATACTGCCCCCGCACCGGTCCGCTGAGGGCAAAGTTGTAGCCGGTACTTAAAAAAAAAACAAAAAACAAACAGGTACCGATGTATTTTTTGCATGTTGGCATCAACTTGGTACCGAAGTATCGGTTCTCATGACAATCCTAGTCACATGTCACGTCCATTATGCCTCTTTGGATTTCTCGTTGCCAGTATGCATGTAAAATCACACACTGATGCAGCATGTTGCCGCCATTGTTTGGTTCTGTGTAAAGAGGCAGAGGAGGCATTGAGAAGGGACTTCAAAGCGGCTCTATAGCGCCATCTCTGTGTAAAAAGGGCTTTGAACTGAAGTGATGTTACCTCGTGTTTATGTGCGCATCACACGTGCATTTTGATTAATTATTCTACACAGGCTCTTTTGCACATTGATGGGCACACTGGAGACGGAACACATTAAAAGAAGTTTTTAGTTACATGAAAAAAAGTGAATCTCTTAAAACTTCTCTCTCTGCTTTCCCCTCTCTCAGGACTATCTGTCTCTGTCAAACTTTCACCTGGTGAATCCTTCCAAAATACCGGTTAACCAGGGTCATCACCAGACTGTCAGTGTGTAATGACGGGGAGAGCTCTCTGATTGAACAGGTTGAAAGTAGTGGATGTAATGAGCCATGACTGTCACCGCTTTTAATTTAACCACCTAATCCTGCGCTCTTTCTGATCCCACCCAGTGTCCAAGTGTGTGACAGGTGCGCCAAGGGAACCTGGCCACAAATTACTGAGTGTGTTTGGCACACTCCCGCACTCTGCAGGGTGCACCTGACTGTGGTCTGGCGGGTCATGATAATAGACCCTGTGGTGTCTTCTTATGAGCACAGAAAGTGGAGGAACAAAAAGTCTTGTTATTCCCCCTCCATTCTGGTGCCAGTTAATATCGAACACTAATGCCACACACTGTTCATTGGGAAATATAATCATTTGCACTGTGAAGCCTTTCACCCCATTTACAGCTGCTCTCAACATGAGATGTGCATCTGGACACCTTATTTGGATAATGACATGATCATGGGCCGTCACCTTCACACCTGACGTTAGAGTGGTGCTGATATTTTAATATTCCTTTCACTGCAGGTACATTTTAATATGCAAAGCTGGTTGGTGGAGCTATCTGATGTGGCAACAACCACTGCCTCAGGTAAAGGGAACTGGTGCTGCTGTATGGGCCTCACTGGGTCTGTCTGCAGTGACGTGTAAATGTAACTGCACATATAACATGGATGTGTATAACTGTAACAGATGGTTCAAACACTGGATGTCATAATTACACTGACATAGAATCTAACAGGTGGAACCTTCTTCATTTTTTGTCTGCCGCAGTTAACCATACTTTGTCCACTGCTCAGTTGAAATGTGTCAAGTTGATCCACACACATTTGTAAAAAAAAAAAAAAAAAAAAAAAAAGTCCAAGCCTGGACTTACAACAAACTTTATCTCTAATAGACTGACTCTGCACTTTCGCTGCCTGAGTTAATGTTAGCTTCCCAGTCTAAATGAACAATGACTTCACAGCCTCAAATCCCTGAGGTCTTGATTCAGGGCTTTTCAAATGCTAAGCCTTTAGTAACACCGCTATGAGGTGCTTAAAAGTTTAACTGTAAGATTTGACATCCTGTTCCTCAATGACCAGCTGTCAGTCATTGCAACTGAAGACATGGACGTTAACTACTCATCTACAATTACTGTCTAGTTACTTACAAACTGACTCACTGTCTGTATTGCTTAACAGACAAAAAGGATGCAGTACACTTTTTTAGACATCAAAACAGAGAGGAAACATAATGTCTGTTATAATGACCCTATTGTCTCGCATAGCCAAATCTATCTCACACTGTGTCGGCATTGGGGAACGATCTGGCCGAACAAGGGATGTCAACATTCAACCGTTAACTGGTTAACCGCTGAGAATACTTTGGACCATCTAAGCCTGTTGGACCGTAAGCTAATGTTGCTGCTCTTCAGGTTACTGCAATGTGCACCACCCAGAGCTGAGAGACAGACAGCTGGTTGCAAAGCGCACCAGCTGTCTGCAGCGTATATTTGGTAGCGCTGGGGCTATTCATCGATATATTTGACATCATCGATTACAAAAATACACCAATTTGCAAAACGTGCATCAGTAAGCTGCAGCCGGCTTCACCCCGTCAAAGCATGGAATCCTCTGCAGAAAGAGCTGCAGCTAAAATGGCTTGTGTCAAGTGTACAACTGCTACACACAGAAAACATCCCGGAGGACCTTATCAAAGCGGCCGCAAGATGGCACCGTTCTGTTCACTTTTTGTCCCCATCAAAGCATGACATATTGAACACTACACATGTGCACACCGCAGCAGTTCAGCGAGGTGGTGGTCACACGCTGCGCTCACAGGCAGTATGAACACTCTGGGTTGTTTGTATTTCTTTGAACCAATCAAAAATAGCTTGGTCGGCACCAAGCCAAAGATGCAGTGAGAGTGCTTCTGCTAAGAGCGTTAGGAGGAAACTGGTTTTGGCAGAGAGGCGTGCGCTGACATTAAAATGGCTGAATCCGCACACAAGAAAACGCCACATGAAACATAAGACGTTTTAGCATGTGGATTACTAGCTCAGAATTTTTTGCTTCATGTAGAGCACTAAAAAGAAGTGTGGAGATAGGATTGGCTATTTAAGAGTAGTTTCACATTGCGACAGAGATTCTGAAAACAATAACACAGAGGAAGCATGTTACCGTCTGAGATGGGCAGCCAAAGACAGTCTTTATACATATAAGCCTCTTTTACACCGCCTGTTCAAGGTGGGGATTTCGCACTGATATTCCACCTATCTGTTCTTTATAATAGGTACAATCAAGAAATGGGGGGACAGAGCTGTCTCGCCTTTAAGCTGGCAGTGAGGGTAGTAACAGCACCCAATTAAGGTCTGTGTAAAAGAGACAGCCAGCAGCCAAATCAAAGAAGAACAACAAAAGAAAATGTCTGTAAATCTGTAAAACAATGTGGTTTAGGAGCTTCTTACCCTCCGAGCAGAGGAGAGATCAGCCGTCACATAGGGAGGGTAAAGGATTGTTACTGCCATGTTATGCCAGTGGTGTTTATAAAGTGCTGCCAACACGTATGCTATACATCACACTAGAAGCTGACGCCGTGTTAACGTCACGCCGGTGATGCCTCTTTTGCTTCCAGGCTGACCACATGATGTTTTAAAATCAAACATTGGAGCAGCATGATGCCGCCATTATTTGGTTCTGTGTAAAAATCCAAAAGAGGCATGAAGAAAGGACTTCGTAGTAGATCTGTAGCATGATCTCTGTGTAAAAAAGGGCTACTGTGACGGGTTTTCAAAATGAAGGTTTGTTATGATCTTAGAGTTGCAGCCAATGACAGGCTGCATGTTGCGAGCCAGACTGGTGACCCAGTGACATTTATCCCATTTGGTGATGAAATGCTTCACACTGACATTTAAGCAAAAGATGGAATTTGTCATTCATTGGATGAAATTAATGATCCAGAGTCCAGTGCAGAGTTGATCTGGTCAGTGACTGCAGGGCTGCATTCACAGCTGTAGCGTATAGCAGACCAGAGCTGACTGAGCTGCTGTCGTGTCAGCAATAGAGTTTCTCCTCCTCTCTTAACAAAACTGAAATAAACTAGTCCACAGAGAAAAGGGCATATTAAAACACACATCACTCTCCACTGAACTCACTCACTGTGTAGCCATCACAACAATGGCAACTGCATGTCAGCATGAGGCCTTTCTCCTGTATGAAGCGGCAGAGCTCTGAGCTCACTGCTGACTGGGTGACACCCCCTCCTCCCCTCACACACACACACACACACACACACACTGAACTCATTGCCCCCATTCCCTCCTCCCCGTCTCCCTGCGCCTCCTCCTCATTTATCTGGTCCCTCCCCCTCACCCTCCCCTTCGCTCCGTGCTCAGCGCTCGGCGCTCGGCCGCTCCTCCCTCCTCACTGGCGGAATCCAAAGCGAATGCTTGGAGAGCGCAGCTCCTCTACAGAATAGGTTGTGACACACAGCGTAAGGCAGACTCCAGCCAAAGGATGACTCCCTCCTTTAGAAAAGGGCATCTGACAGCACAACAACTGCACATTTGTCCAAATAGGCCAAATACACATCACAATCTGGCTCCATTGTATGGACGCTAGTTAGTTTACTACTTGAGGTTTAATGGCATTAATGTTCCACACTGATATTTCCAAGTCAATATTTTGCTGGGGCAGAGCTTGTTTTGGATGGATTTTAACAATGGATCAAACAAATATTCAAATTTAATACCAGGCTATCATTCACATGGACAGGCTGGACATGGTTGGGCCAGCGTCTCTCCGGCTGGGCACCACTTCAGCCCTGTGAAGTAACAGTCACCATTTGACAGCTCAGCATTCCTCTGGGCCTTGGCCTTCAGGGTGACGTAACCCCTCCTCACGAACCCAACATGTCACCCTCCCTTCCCCCACTAACACATTCGCCAGGCCTCAGACACAGGGACGCACAAAACTTGGCAGGGCAACTACACCGGAGGCCTTCAAGGTCATGGAGGAGGTGGAGGGGCGGCAGCCGGCAGAGCAGGGGAGAAAGGTCATCGCAAACCAGCAGAGGGGAAGGAGGTATCAGAACCAGTACAGTGTGAACTGCTAGCTTGTTACACCTGCTGCTGTGCGAGCAAATGATTTCACTGAGAACTGAAATGGTCAGTGAAATAAACGGATCAGTGTTGCCTGTAAATGGACAGACTGCACCCAATCCAAAGCTGAGTAAGAGTAAGTGCAACTGTCAGTTAAAAGGGATAGTTCAGATTTTTTGGGGCCGTATGGATACTTATCTATAGTCAGTGTTTTAAGCCCCGATTCCACCGAGCAGTCCAGTACGGTACAGTTCAGTTCAGTACACATTTTTTCTGTTTCCACTGTGAAAATGGTAAATGGTAAGGCAAATGGGCTGCACTTATATAGCCTTTATAGTCATCCTGCCACTCAAAGCACTTTTAACACTATGAGTCATGTTCACCCATTCACACACACATTCATTCACTAGTAGCCGAGCCTATCATACAAGGTGCCACCTGCTACGTTTTTTAACTCACTCACACACCAATGGAACAGCCATCTTGAGCAATCTGGGGTTCAGTATCTTGCTCAAGGATACTTCGACATGCAGACTTGAACCGCCTAGAGTGGACCGCTTCTCCAAACTGGGGGCGTGCTGACTGACTTCTACTGCACATCCTACACCGACTATTGATAAGTGCCCCATACAACCCCATTTTAAAAATCCTAACTGTGCCTTTAAGTAGTAATCAAAGTCATAGCCCTGGCATGACAATTCGACAGGATTTCAAGCATACATTTTTTAGCACCGACTGTGTTGTGGTAGGGGACTGAATGTTGACACCTTACTCTCTACAAGCCTGATGCAACTGGGAGAAACTGGTGAAGATTATCAAGCCCATCGTAGCTTTTAGTGGAGCAAGAAAGAAGCCGTTAGTGGATCCGTCAGAAGCAATAATGCTCTGCTCCCGATGGGACAGAGAGATGGGGCTCACTGCACATGAAGGGAGTCCCAAAATGGCCTCTAAATCTGGATGATTAAAAGCAGTCATTTGACAGCACAATCCCCTCGAGAAACTGAGCCACATGGGTACTGAGCCCACCTGAGCCTCTATTGAGGAGGATGATGTGGCTTTGACAACATCACAGGACACCTAACGATAAAAATACTGGATGTCACTTCAGACATTCCTTCTTTTGTGGACTAACCCATAAAACATAGCAAAATGCACACCACTTACAGGGATCCAGTGCTAATGGGCACATCGACTGGGAGGTTCCTTGCAGCTTAGAAGCAGAACCCAGGTTGTCTATTTGGACGGATAATAAAATGATTGCCATGGTTTTAAATCTTCAAAAGCCTCAGCTCTGACTAAGACCAAAGAAATGCTCTTTTGTGATAACTTACTAAAGCAGAAAAATCATGCTCAACAGGCATGCAGTTTGCCGTAGAAGACAGATAATGCCAGGCCAGCTGCTACAGTTTGACATATTGGTAAGCTGTCTCTTCTGTCTCCACTACTTTGGTTATTAGGTTCATTTGAGGACACGTCAGTGAGTGCACTGCCTGCAATAAGATGTGTCCTCATTAAAACATGAAGACCACAGTCACACATAATGCACCTCCCTGCTGTTGTTTTGCAACCAGTTCTCATGCAAAGCTTCTCACGTCTTCGCACATCAATACTCCCATTGCACTGCATGTCAGACCACCACAAATATATGAATCCTGAAGCAGCAGGAAGCACATAATATAACTGCCTCTATTTAAGATGTGATGGTGTTTTGCCATGTGAGCCAAACAGGAAGAGGAAACTTGTCATACTGCTTATTACTGATGCAATACAAGTTGGATTCAGCACTGTGATGCTGTCGGCACAGGTTGCAACATTTTCATTTGCCCGAATGTGTCATAATGACAACTGCCAGTTCAGCTGGTTTGCCAAAAAAAATAATCAAACCTGTTTAAGCTTGTACATCGGACAAGACAAATCAGAAACAAACCCAACTCTACAGCTCAGACACTTCAACTGTTTGTTAAGCCACAATATTTCCTTCTATATGTGCACACATGTTTAATACGCACAAACACAGTCTGGAGCCAACTCTTTACTGAACACACAGGTCAAATGATCAGTGTTCTCACCTTACTCAAGGCAAGACAGCAAACATAGATATGCCAATATGTCTGAGTGTTGGTTACAGTTGGACTACAGCTTTGATTATACACCATGTTTTCAATCAGACAAGAAATATAATCATCATGCATGCAATGAAACACATATTTTTGAAGCACTTACCACTGAAATGCGTTGTAATGGAAGTAAACCATGCCAAGGCCGTATAAAAAGGCAGCATTCTGAAAAAGAAAGGGTCAGAAAATTGTTACAAACAGAGGCATAAAACTTCTTTATCACATTGAAATGATTACAGTTCAAAATCTGACTCTAAAAGCAAGCAGTTTCACCCTTGATGGTGGGAGGGGACTTTTACATACAGTGTGTTCATTACTTGAAACGGCACGTCTCTATACGAGTTTAAGGTAGAAATGCAATATAATAAGTATGTTTTCATTAGTGTTTAATCAACTGAGAATAACAATCGTGTTTTTGTCACCTTAGAATGAGCCGTTTATATCTACATAGGGAGCAGGTCCTCATTTATGGCGATTGTGTTTCTACAGTAGCCCAGACCGGACAAACCAAACACTGACTCTAGATAGGACCGTTCGTGTTTTTGTGTCTGCCACCATAGTTAGAAGTACCTCCGAGATGAGCAGCATCGGAAACATGAAACTGCTTTATTAAGTGTTTTCATTCTGGTCCTTTTTGTTGGAAAGCAAGAGTGCTCTGTGGATATATCGGCTTGCAGTAAAAACCTCCTGAGTTATTGAGCACAAATTAGCAGGTCCTAGGTTGGCAGCCCATCTTCAACGTGCCAAATCGCGTTGAAGAAAAACTGATTTGTCGCGTGTAACTGTTTTATTCTGTGTTGTTACTGGTTTAAATCACTTGATCCGTTTGTTTTAGAGAGGAAGAGACCTCTGTGGATAATTCAGCTCCTGATAAAAACCTTCTGAACAATAAACACTGAAGGAATTCTAACCAGAAGAAGTTTCAGCTGGTTGTTACACTCCACTAAATCCCCCTAAATCTTACACACTGAACCTTTAAGAACATTTAAGAGGTATTTTACCATTTTTTCATTTCTCTTTTTATGTTCGCTAATTTACATTAATACAAGATACTGTTTTCCAGTATAGTACCAGTTTAGTTTTCCTGCTATGTCAGTGAACTAATATTGAGTATTTATAGAGGCATTGGTTTCCCTCAGGGTGTAAGCAAATGTTAATGATCTAATCAAGCAGACTGAGCAGTATGACCAACATATGTACCACTTATTGATGATAAAATAACTAAAAAGACATATGAGACCAATTGATGGGCATGCAGCAGAATTAAATTATGTCCTGCTGAAGATCAACAAGTACCTGAGACGACATCTCAGTCAATACAAAAATGACTGTTGCCTTTTTCTTTCTGACCATTTTTATGAACAAATTCAGAAGAGAACAAAAACAAGACTTTTGTAAATTAGGTCTCACAATATCAACTGATCAAGTGAGTTTACATCTTCCATTTGCTGGTCTTTCCTGTCAAGTGATGAGACACACCATAGCGTGAAACAATTTTATTTTATTAAGTGTTAAACCATATAACGTAAATTATACATTACATGAAGAAAAAAGTGAGTAGAGTTGTAAAGCTGCAATAAGATCTGGCCAATGAGTCACACCAACACATTAGTGCTGCACGATTTGGTAAAAATGTGCGATTGCGATTATGGTGGACAATATCGCGATTTGCGATTGCGATTACAATATAATTACAATAAAATGTAATAAATAAATGGTATCATGAGTCTTTTTGCTTTATTATTATTATTATTTATTATTTTGCTTTTATTAGGGGGGCACTGACCTGACAGTTATTGTTATGGACAGACAGTGTGTCAATGACCATCAACAGACTGAGCACAGTCAAACATGCTGCTCACACAGCAGCGCAGCCTGGCACTGTACACACACAGCGGAGCGAGCATATGTTGCGTTCAGGCGTTGTCACGTAAATGACAAATTCCAGCACGCCATAGCACAACTCAGCAGCGTGTCATGTGGGCCGAACTCGAGCAAAATTGCTCAATTTTTCATTTGTTATGGAGTCCATGATTTCCCTGTGATACTTACAAATGTTTAATGCTTAACTGTGCTTGGATGTTGTTTTATGAGGCTCTGGTGGCTTTCAGTTGTCTCTTTGTCTTTAACATTACACGGCTCGGCTTGCTCTCACATGCACTCTTCCTTCTTTTCTCTGTGCTGTCTCAAGTGTTGATATAGATTGGTCATGTTGCCGCGGGACGTGGTGACATTAACTTTGAAACTTTTACACAACACGTCTTTCAGGTACGGCGACGTTGGACAGAAAGACATGCTGTGTAAAAATTTAAGTCGCTACGTCCCGTCTCAAGTGCTGATATAGATTGCTCGTGTTGCCGCGGGACGTGGAGACTTTAACTTTTACACTTACACAGCACGTCTTTCTGTTCAACGTCGCTGTACCTGAATCCAAAGTATCGCCATGTAACAGACGTTTTATTCGCCACCAATTCAGCCTGTTCTTGGTCGAGCTCATGCTCTTCTTCAGCATCTGTGTTGGTCACTGCTGCACGCTGGCTGCACGCACCAGGATAGCTTGTGGGTGTGATGTCAACAAACTCCACGCACTACAGGAGAGGCGGTCACGTTCACAGGCACACACGTTAACATTTATTTACCCTACATTAAATCGCAAATCGCAGCCTTTTATGCGGTTATGTAATCGCACAGCCTGACATCGCGATTGCGATTAGATTAATCGTGCAGCACTACAACACACTGAGCATAAATCAATGAAATTTCTACATAAACATAATTATGTTGATGCATCTTTTCGCCACTTCCCACTAAGGACTAGTTATATTTGGTCAGTCACACCAGTCTACTCCTGGCCAATAACAGCCCAGCACTTGGGGCTTCAAACTGCAGCTATTCTACACGGCCACCAAGAGAAGTCTGCCCCACGCCATTATCTAGCAGAGGGTAGGACCTCACACCCTCACTTCACCGTGGTGATCTGTAATCCCGAGGAGCCCAGAGCTGTCAGGTCTGATCACAATCCAGCTCTCAGCACCTCTGTCTAATGGGCATTCCAAACAGTGAGACATCAGACCAAACGGGCCTATTAATCCACACAGAGAGCACGGAGAGGACAGGCTGGACGCCATCATATCACAGCGGATTGGACAATTTATCTCCAGGCCATGAGCAGGAACTGTGGGCAATCTGAACGGAGGCAAGTGTTTCTGCAAATAATACTAAAATGTTGCATCCACTGTATCACATCTTCGTGAAAGTCCCTGCAGCTACGCTCTTTGGATGATAAATGTCACTTGATTAGCTAAATTGAGCAGAAGAGATGTCGTGATCCAAACTGAATAAATAGAGCTAAACAAGGCCATTTTTTCATTGATCGACCGGTTCAGTTAAAAAATAGTTTCGGCAATATAACACAACAGAAAACCCCTGATGGTTTTTCTGAACTTCTTCTCTGTTCCCTCACCTTTAAGTCCAGGTAAAGCAAAATCTACTATTTCTTTTTAAACACGTAATACATGGTAGAAAATTTTTCTCCATGCCTGGTCGATGACGCACTGGGACCATCCTCATCATAACCCCTCCCCTACTATATAAATATTACATTACGACAAACTTTAACTTGGAGCGCAGCACATAGCATCAGTGTCGTTTCGTCCAAGCTCTGTGCGTGAGGGGCAACTTCGCTACGTCCCACAAGCTCTCTGAGCTCTTTCAGTCTAATAAATACATGTATAAACATCTTTGTTAAATGTCACAATCATATAAACCCAAGCTAAACAGCTGTCACTAATGTATCTGTAAGTATTTCTGGCTGAACTGGCTACCTGTCCCATCAGCAAACTGCTGTGGGTGTGGGTGTGGGTGTGTGCTTTGTGCGTACATTGGTTGCTGTTGCAGCTAAACGAGGCTATCACCGTGCAGCAGCTCTTGTTCCGTGGTTCAGAGGGTGTGTGCTGTATAACCATTGACTGTGTGTGCTAATGGGTTAGCTGCTATCGCGTCTGTTGCTGTGGAGCAGCATTTCTTTGGTTCAGGTGTGTGTGTGTGTGTGTGTGTGTGTGTGTGTGTGTGTGTGTGTGTGTCTGTGTGTCTGTGATACTGGGTTAGCTCCTGAAGGGTGTCCGTCATTTGGCATTGGCTTGGCCTTCATTTTAGCTCCCTCAGCGGACACGACCCCAGCGTCTCAGAGCAAAGAATACTGCCCATTTTTCATGATTTTGAAACCTAATTTTATATACTTGTTTTTTTAATCAATTTGGCTGGGTGCTTAATAATACATTTTTTAAATCACAGACTTTACCCAGACTTTGAGTTTTGCGTTCCTCCGATCCCCAGGAACGAAAAGTGTGTTGCTCCACTCCAGTTATAACAAACACTCTGCACATACTACAGCATAGAGAGATAATGTGACACTTTATCTGGTGCATTTATTGCTCATTAATTCTTTCAAAGGACACAGACAGAATCTAGCCACTGGCTCTGAGCTCAGCTGCAGCTGGTTGAAGCTGTGACTGTGGATGCGGTTACTGCTCGGACTACGGCTGCAGTTGTGGTTGTCTATGGCTACGGTGGCTGTACTGTGACTTCTCTTTACTGCTCCTTTTAACATTAACCAAGAAAGCATTGTGAAGCCACACTGGATCTGAAACTGCTGTGCCTCTATCAAATACGACAGGAGCGTAACCAACACACCACAGAGGAGTTCAGCAGTTTCAACAAAACACTCGAAGCACAGCCATGGCGATAGTCATAATCACAGCGACTGCCTGTGCAGCAGAGGGTGGGAGCGCTACGTTCACCAGCTCTGCCAGCTCTATCTGAGTTCATTCATGCTGTGGTTACAACCAGCAGCAGTCTACTACATTATAATTAATACTGAATCATAACACAGCTCAGCCTCTTTTTGTATCAGAGGCAGGGCTCCAAATACCACCTGCATACGCACAGTAGCGCATCTAAAATTTGAGCTGTGCATGAGGCTGCTCAGGGTTGTCAACTCTCACACGCTGACCGTAAGAATCACGCAATCAACTCTTTTCACACGCTCCTACACCCATTCTCTTTATAACTGATAACAGCGCAGCACGAAGAGAGGGAACCAACAGCGCACGGACAGGCGACACAGAGCAGCACAACAGCAGCACCATAAAAGGCTGCCGTCAAGCCCACTGCCTGATTCTGATGCACTTTCATTCATGCTGTTGCGGTACAGGTGCCTGGAGCGGCCATACAGAGCGAAGAAAGACTCACATTTCAGCAGCCATTTCTCATATTCCTCCAGAGCAGTACATTGCAGTCGGACTCCAGCCTGTTTGTCCAGACTGGAGGCATGCCGACTGACATAAGTACCTCATATAACCCCACTTCAAAAAATCTGTACTATCCCTTGAATGTGCATCAGTCACAGCAGGACACTGAGGCTCTTCTTTACTAACGGTTAACCTCAACATTTGCATAATTCTTTGTGTGCTCACTGTTACTAATGTGCCACATGTACCGGCTCAGTCACACTGACTTGACTGCAGGCCACTTGAGCATGTGGGGCCTTCCACCGCCCTCAGTTCTTACAGTGTGTCTCTGGCACAGACTGTACCCACTCCCTCAGTGTCCTTAAATGCACTCAGCAGTATATTACCTCCACATGTCCTCGAAGAATCAAGCACATACACAACAGGCTGACAACCAGCCCAGTCTTCTTGTGTGCACAGCAATCTTTCCATCATCGCTCGACACATTTCAACACAGTAGAGTCTACTCACTAAGCATTAGGACAGTGATATGTTTTCATTGTTTGTCTCTGTATATCAGCACACTGGATTTCATGTTGATATAACAGTGCCAAGTTACACCTTTACGAATACCTAAGGATGTTCACATTCACACTGGGTGAACACTGCATAAAAAGTGACCCAGTTTTAGGGCAATGCAGTTGAGTGTGCACTGCAATGGTTTCTATTGGGCACCATGTGGACCAAAGAGCAAACCACACCAACAGTTAAGGTCAGAAAGAATAGTGGCACAAAATATAAAAGGTGCTATTTTACCAACATGTTGTGCAAACTCACCTTCCAGTAGTCCGTCTGTAAACTGAAGTACCTCTGGTATGCAGATAATGCTGAGAATAATGAGACGAATAGAAGGAGGTGATACAGACAGAGGGGGAAACACAGAAGGAGATAATCAACAGTTAGTGAAAATGTTCAAGATATTCGACTCAGCTGCACTTTCAACACTTCCCAGTGAGAAGAATTTCAAGACAAAAAACTAAATATCTGATGAGAGTGACCCTTTGTCAACAGGCTTTAGCAGTGTGAACCAAAATAATGAGCGTAGAATATCAAAGCAACAACAGCTCACATCGAACGACTACTTGTGAAAAAAATAGCTATCAATTGATTATTCTATCCTTTTGTTGGATTAAAATTGGCGTCAAGTAAGTGGCCGCTAGTCTTCAAGAGGTCCAGGTAAAAACAAACAATTTAAAATCACACAGAATCAAAAAAACAAGAAAAGGCAAAACAATCCACTACAATTATAAGAAAACAATCAGGGAAGCCCCTTTTACACTGCCTATTCAAGGCGGGAATTCCACGTCGTTATTCCACCTCGATGTTCTGTAGAAAAGGTACAATCGCTGAATAGGCAGGACAGAAACAACATTGATGTTGAACCAAACGTTAGTCAAACAGAAAGGTCATTAGTCGGCAAGATTTCATTGGTCGCTTGGTCACCAAAAAAAAAAAATAGAAAAGAAAAAAGGTGAAACTCTATTAGGAGATATACCTTATCAATATATGGTACCTGCGGTTATTCCACAGGCTAGTTAATAACATGTCGGGCAGGAAATCCAAAGTGTGGGATCATTTTGACAAGGTGAAGGACGAACCCAAGGTGATATGTAAACTCATCTTCATTGGTTGACTACAAACATGACGTATCATCTGAAACATGGAAGTAGCTACATGCCCATTAGCCCACAGCGTCATTAACAGGCGGCTCGCTCAGTGTGTGACGTGCACTTGGAGATAAAATATAGGCCTATATTAATGAAGGTTCATTAGTACGGTTTTGTATTTCTCTGTAATGTAGCACAGTGTTAACAATGTTACTGATACTATTCTTTCTCACACCTTCAACTCAAACCACCAAAATATATCATTACATTCATATCAGAAACATGCAGATGACTTCTCGACTAATGGCCCTAAATGACGACTATCAGTCGACTTGGAATACTCTTAGTCAGGGGCAGCCCTACGTGTCACAATGCTGGGACACTATTTAAAAATTACACACGGAGGCAGAATGATGCAGCCGTCATTTGGTTGTATGTAAAAAGGTGGCATGAAGAAGGGACTTCACAGCGGCTCTATAGCGTGATCTCTGTGTAAAATGGGACTTTAGATTTTAATGTTAGAGAGGTACAAAATAAACAAGACGCAGGAGGCTTTACACATAGAGACTCTTACCTTTTGGATAGTCCTCCAGCAGGAGGTTGAAGTGGCCGAGCTGACAGAAAATGTCAGGGTCCACTTTCCCTTCTGCTTTCAGGATGAGGGCATCGTAGCAGCTAACAGCCTGAATGAAAGAACAACAGCAGTGAATAGTTAAAGAGGTGCTACAGCTGTAGTGAAGAACACAGAGATAAACGGTTGATCAATACCGTGCATATCACACAACAACGATAAACGGTCGATACAGCAAGCAAATTTTGACTCCAGCCTGCTGCTTTACCTTAATGCTTTGGCCAACAGCTCAGAGGTGATTATCAGACACAGCTGACTGATAAACTACCAAAGAGTGTGATTCCAAGCCTTCCAGGACTGTTTTGCATAGCAAGAGCTGAATGCCCAAATATGGACTGTGTCAGTTAGGGTTTAAACATTGGCTAAACAAATGACTCCTGCTGGCCCATACTGCAGCTACTGAGGAGGAATGATGAGAGAGTGGGGACGGGTATCGTTAGCATTTTATTGATGCTGATTTCAGTACTGCTTATTAATACCAACACCTTACTGATACTCTTATTCATACTACTCTCTGTAATTTGGTGCAAAATAAATTAAGACATGACATAAAAAGATTAAACAGTTGCGTAAGCTGCTGATTCACAGTGAATCTCCTACAGACAAAACATAAATAAAATTGTGCCAAATCAACAGGCTTTCTCTTTCTTCTTCGCCTGAATTCAGAGCATCTCATAGAAGCAAAATATAAATAAAACGAACTAACTTAAAACGAATATGTCATCACAGAATGCAACCAAAAGGAAGCACTGTGAATTGGACACGCAACTCGGACCAAATGCAATTTTATTGGTTACCTCAGTCTGTCTTTAGGGGCTGGATGGATACGGTGATGCTCTGTAGAGCAATAGTGTTATGGGTGTGTGAGCTGACGCTGGACAAGGACGGGGATTCAGTGTGGTGATGCAAAGTAACGTTACTGTACGTTCAAACCGGAAACTTCCAAAGAGGCGGGGCGTCGGTGGCTTCGTGGGTAGAGCAGGCGCCCCATGTACAAGGCTGTTGCCACAGCGGCCCGGGTTCGAATCCAGCCTGTGGCCCTTTGCTGCATGTCATCCCCCATCTCTCTCTCTCCCCCTTCACACTTTCCTGTCCTGTCCATTAAAGGCAAAAATGGCAANTGTTAGAGACAGGCCACTAGCACCTGCTAATGTGTGCTCACCTTTTTACTCTGATAACTTAAGATCCAGACGCTGAGGAAGTTTTTCTGGGAGCCAAATTATCCACAGAGGTCTTGTCCTCTCCAAAACCAACCAGGTCTCACTCCAAAGTCGTCAAAATCTCACGCAGGACTTTATTGTCCTGAAGTAAATTTGCCATGGATACATGTGGCACCTGCCATTAAAAGATACAAAAGAGTTACTGTGCATTCAGACCAGAAGCTTCCAAAGAGGCAAAGTCTCTCGCGGTCACCCAAGAAGCACGACTGTCAAAAATATTTGTGGCAGCTTTGGTCGCTCTAGTTGCTCATCACGTGAATCATTGAACGTTCGATCGTGCTTGTCAATTTAAAGGAGACGCAAAGCAGACTACTGGCTTGAAAGCAGCATAGTTGCTACTTGCTGTTGTCCAGTCAAAAAGTTTATAGTTGGCCAACAGAAAGTTATGTTTGGTCAATGAAAACAGAAAACGTATGTCGTCGCATTCAAACCAAGCAACTTGCATGCTAAGTCGCAACATTAGCCTGCAATTCTCTCCTCTATTACTAACATTACACACTTTAAAACTCACCAGACCACGTTCACAACATGGTCCCAAGCCTCATTCTTTTTATTTTGGTCTCTGTAACCGAACAGCGACACATTATAAAGGACTGAGTGGGCACGAACGCAAGCAATAAACTTCTCGATATCCATTGTCGGAACAAGTGTGCTGTACGAACCAAAGTTACATGGCTTGTTCTCTGGGACCCGCTTCATCGAAGCACGTCAGCATTCCGATTGGTTGTCGCCAAAACGCGCCAGGGCTCATTACCATAAAGTTAAACAAGTTTTAACTCCCCTCCAGACCCGTTCCGGTCTCGTTAGTTGCCCAAGACGCGCGGCTAACAACCAGGTCGCCCATGTCGCCGGGCTCTCACTGAAAATGAATGACTTCCGCCATTTTGTAAGCTCTGGTCGCTGTTGGTTTGAACGTACAGTTAGTGACGTTATTCCAAACAACGGATCCTCCAAAACGGAGGCTATTTGACAGTTTAGAAGACACCTTATTTGATATGCAGCAAAGTCAAAATGCAGTCGATCATATATGTGGAATTGCGGGAAGCCAAAGTTTTGACAAGATTTATATATTACAGGAATGTCTGTAGTCATAGCCTTCATAGTGGAGGATTTGGGTTCCTTGTATGAACCTAAAAATATAAGGTTACTGTCTACCTGCAGTCCTTGGGGCCCTCCGTGCCGTGCCGCCAACACTGCAGCCATGGCGCATTGAGCTCCAGAGAGCCGAGGATGACCGCAGTTAGGTCTCCAATGTATTCAGAGCACCACAACAAAAACGCTGACACATAACTGACAGTTTAATATCTAAAACACAGGACTGCCTCTCAGTGGTTTCTTCGACATGAGAAATACTTCAAAAACTAGTGACATCACGCAACGCCAATTGACTTCAACATGGTTTTGTTGTTTGCAGTGTAGCTGTATGAGGGAAAATAATAGGGCTTGTCCCCAGGACACATCAGTGGTAAGTTTACTGCATCCTTTCAGATTTTTAAGGCTATGACACATCAAGCCGACGTTTGGCTGTCAGCAAGCGTCTGTCGCCCTCATCAGTAGTGTGTTCTCCTCGTCAGCCCCCGTCTGCTATTTTTTCTGTGTCGACAATGGTAGACCCCATCAGTGAATGAAATCACCGATTGGCAGTGAAGAGACACAGGGGTAAGACAGTAAACAAAGAGCTTAAGTCAAGAGGAAGGGAGACTAAACAAACTTGTTATATTAGGTAAGATTATTTTTCTTAAGCCTCTGAGCTCCTTAGCAGAAACGCTTCCTGATGGTTTGTGTTATTCTTCACTGGCACACACTAAGTATGCGGTTTCAACGCGGAAAAAAAATATTGATCCATTAAAAATTGATTGTTTTACAAACTGTCCAAAAAGACATTGCAGTTCAAGGCTGGATTACAAAGGGATACGACCACACAGGAGCCTTCACTGAAACAGCACAACAGTTAGCGTTAGCTTCTGGGCAAAAATAAATTAAATAATAAGTCTGTCGCATGCAGCGTTCCAGACATATTTAACTTTAGTAGCATTATGGCATATACGACATAGTCAGCCAACTGCTTTAATGATGAGTGTAGGGCTGAACAACATATTGGAAATTCTTTTGCATCGTGATATTAACATGTGCAAGATAGCCTAAAGGTATTGCAAAAGACTGATTGAACTGTGATAAACTGTATATCAAAGTCACACATTCACACGCAACATACTGTGTTGAAACAGTGTTGTTGGGTGTCTTCACTAGTTTTGAAAGTTTTTTTATGTCACAAATAAACACTGAGAGTGAAGCTTGTGTTTTAGATGTTATTATCATACTGTCCGTGATGTGTCAGTGTTTTGTTCTGGTGCTCTGCACAGATCTGACACCTGTCCGCCCGCCTGTTCTCATCCCCGGCTCTCTGAGGCTCTCAGCACCACCGTTTCCTTGTAAAGACTGTGGGACAGCACAGAAGGCCACAGGGACTGCTGGTAGACAATAACCTTGTATTTCAAGGTTCATAAAATACACCCAAATATGTCAGATATTACTACAGACATTCCTGTTATCTTACATCACAGTGACTGCTGTGACAGCAGATGCTGTATTCACTCATATCAGAGATGATGGTGCTTTACCATCCAGGTGCTTTACCATGCCGGGTTTTTTGATAATTATTATTTCTGAACTGACGAGTCAGGAACGGGTTCCAATTTAGTACCAGTGTGTGTGCACGCATCTGTGTGTGAGATATAGTCAGCATAACTATTATGTTGAATGCAATAAGCCATGAAAAAAAAACAGAAGAATAAAATTGAGTAATTTTATGTTGAACAGAGCGTCACCTTCAGTGTGTGCTCATCTTGTTGAGCTTTGCCATCACTTAAATCAAAAGGACCCCAATTACAAATGATTCAGTGATGTGTTTGTCATAAGACTGAAAGCCTAAAGCACAAGACTGGGTGAAATGAAATCAGTTTACTGTGACACACTGATTCTAGTTTACTTCTGTACCTTTTTAACATTATGTTATTGCACAGTTTGTTCTGAAGTCACCCAGATGTTTTCATCTGTATGTACCATTCAGAATATATTGTTTGTGTTTGTCTTGTGGTTAGTGATGCAATCAAGATCAAGATCGGCAATGCTCATGCAAGAATTACTACCGGAGCCGGCCATATATAATATGTCTTATATTTGCTTCTTCTTTAGACAAACTTGCAAATCACATCTGATCATTCTGATCACACAGTGAACATACTGTTGAGCAGTTTCTTTGCAGCACAAAGCTGAAAGTAGACTAACAAATTAAGTTTCATATGATCAGCTCTACGCAGTCTGTGAAACCAACACAAACTTTAGTGTACTTAAATTCAATTCAATTCAATTCATACTTTATTAAAGACACATCTCAAGGAGAGGTCCATAGCACAGAGCAAGACAAACAACATACACACTTTAAAAAAAAAAAAGATAACAACAATACACAATAAAACAGTGATGTACAGAAAATAAAATATAACAGTCACACACAAGTGTACAGGCAAGATCGCCAGTGACTCCACATCTTAGACGTGAACCTGACTGAGCTGTACTTAAAGTCAGGGCTGGGTGGTCGATCATCTTTTATCTTTAATTTTGATTATGAAAACAAGATAATTGAGATGAAACAATTGTTGTGCCTCATTCTGTTTCACAGCAATGCTGCGTCGCCTCACGTCGACTGTGTCCAGGCCAAAAGGTCGCACTCAAACATACTGCAAAGACTACGGCCAACCGCCAACTAGCACGTACATTCTGCATCTGCTGAGATGAACTAGCTCTCCATACCAGCAGGTGGCAGTAGTCACATTAAAGGGAAACCGAAGACTGACAGAATGGATTCAAGACGCTGGTCAGCCAGTTAGCACATTAACAACACAACCTGATACTGAAAGAATAGATTATATTTACAGTGTGTTAGCAATCAATAACAATCAATTATGAAACATTTCTGCGAAAGAGCTCAATGACTAACAAATAATTTTACATCATCTAAAAAGTTTGTGTTGATCTCACCGCTCATGACATTAGCTGTTTGTTTGTTTGTGTTGCTCACTTCTGTTTTTTTATTTCTCATGCACTGAGCTGAACTGCCGGACAGAGGGATTACGAGCTCCAACGCCTATTCAACATGCTGAATCGGCAGAGAAAACGCTATCAAGGACCAGTAAGGGTCAACAGTGCAGGACACACTGCAAAAACTAGTGTGACAGAAGCTCACTAACAGCCAGATACTGACCGATGGCTGACCGTCTTGGTGTGTCAGGGCCTTTAGAAAACTAATGCATTAAGCGTTGCTAACTTATTTCTAAAAGCTACTAGCGACAAATCTAGTGACTTATTCAGACCATAAGGGAAAAGTCAGAAATGTATTATGTTGTAATTCATTGCAGTGCATGCTGCTCAAAGTAAATGCAGTCAACGGCTCTTTTGCCAACAGTGCTACATCCCAGCCTCTTCTCTTGTGCCGTCTTTGTATCTGTATATCATTTATTAGACTTTTTTTTAAAGTTCAATAAATGCATGATGTTTCCAAAGTCAATTAGTAATCATAAATTACTGTCATATCAATACTGACCAAAACAAATCACAATTATAATTTTTGTCATAATTGAGCAGACCAACATTAACAGCAATATCTGTTCGCAGCAGAACTGGCTCTTCACTTATTATGACAACACTAGAGAAATTACTAAAACATTTATTCAGAAAGCACACTAAAGGGTGAATTCTGATACCAAACTGTCCGACTCATATATCAGAAAAACTAGTAGGTTGCATCCCGCACTGGACAGTCCAATAGATGAATATTGGTCATTTTATTTGCTAACCTAATGACCGTCACCCTCATCATGCAATAGAAAAAAACATTTTGTAAATCTTCATAAATGATGTGACATAATTTACAGTCATTTATATGTATATAAATATGCATGTAATAAAAGATTCTGTATAGACTCAATCACCATGAAGTTGTTGTAAATAAACAACTTCCGGGTAGAAAACCCTTACGTCACGTACATAAAATTGAACAGCACTGAGCAAATGCTGCTTCAGTTTGGTTAGTTTTTAGCCACCAAAAAAAAAAAAAACCTTACTGTCAGACAGTCTTTTCCAACAGGGAATTGAAGCCGCTATATCAAAGCCACCAGACTCCATTGACAAAAACAGTAATTTTACATAGCAGAACACTGGAGTTGCTGATCTACCCCAGCCTTGATTGGTTTTTGTGTGAGGTAAAGCAGAAAATATCCAAATATAGTGTAAATTTACACCGATATTGATTTTTCTAGGTGGCTAAAATATGTTTTGCTGCAGCCCTGTCCACAACAGAACGTTGCTTAGCTTCCCTGCCAGTAGATTTGGTGTGTTAAAGATGACAGAAAAGCAGCATAGTACATAAAATAAGCACAGCAGAAACGTCACATAGGTCGCACAACTGTGTTTAACCATATACTTCTGAATGGTACAGTCATGGTAACAAAATAAAACAAACAAGTTTGCCAATTTGACATATTCAAGCAACTAAAATCAACTGCCAGATGTTTCCCAGGAAGTGACTGTTGGGGTGTTTGCGTGACGTCACAGTGATTCAGTCTACACTACAGTATGATATGTTTGTAAGGAAGATGGACCTCAGTTGGGGTTGTAATAAATCATGCTTGCATCATTTATCACCGGAAAGCCACTACATTGATTTGAAAAGATGGGATCTAAACATTCATGTATAAAATTAATATTGCATTAGTTTATTTTATTGAAACAAATGTACTAGTACCTTGATATAATATTTATAGAATCAAATTGAGTCTTTGCTGGAGGAATCACCACCACTTCAACCCCACCACCTTATCTCAAGCTCCTTGTAAGAAAAAACGCACCAATTCTCACATTTACAGAAAAAAAAAAACACTCACAAATATGCATTTCCTTACACTTCCATTATGCAGCATATTAAAACCATGCATTACCACACACATTACCACACACATTTTGGAAGTGCTGGCTCAATGCCAAGCCGTTCTACTTATGAAATTGTGCAACAGGGGTTAGCTGAGGCCCAGCAGAGCACCCTGCAGGGACAGTGTGATTCAGCAAACAATACACTTACACATGCATCCTACAGTTTTACAAACTACATTGGGATACTACTAAAATAATGTTTTCTTATTGTTCTCAATGATAAGTGGATCAGTTTTAACAGTGGCTGAACTAATACACTCCCGTCCCCCCTGTTTTAAAATGGTAGAGTCCAGAGAGAGGATGTAAAGGGAACTTAGGTTGATTTATTCCACCAGAGATACACATGTATTTAATGTTACACAGCCTTATGTATTTGGTGTTATCACGAGGAAAGGTCCCACGATCAGATCCTATACGTTTATGGTGTGTGCAGGCCTGCATGTGCTGGTCAGGTACGGTCAGCAGAGTATGAAGGACGGCAATACCGGAGCGCATGGCTGATCCTGATCTGAAAGTCCACCCTAACAAAACAATGTAATCAAGCAGAAACCAGGAGCCACATGTTGAAGACACACATCAAACACAGGCGACGTAACGGTGCTCACACGGACTGCGTGGACACGGCTATGTGCAGCACTGTACACTCAGAAAAGTGGGCTTCCGCTTTATAACCAACCACCTTTGTCACACACACACTGAACGCCTCCGTCGTGATATGGTTTTATGCGAATGCTGATTAGCCTAGCCACCAATGCTAGTTAGCAAGCAAACGTTTGCTTGTGGGTATTTTCTTCCCATCCCCGCCATCTTGGGCCAAGTCAAGCAGCCATTATTTTATGCAACCCTAAAGTGGTAACGAGTGTGTGTTTGTTTCCATCTCGATAATGTCAGCTAAGTGGCGTCGTAGCGGTTGTGTGTGCGAGTAAAGAAAGGGGGGAGAAAACCGCTGGGGCAGTTAGCCGCTATATGCTAACAGAGTGAGCTGACGCACCAGCCAAAGTAACTGCCGTTATAGAGGATGGGACGGTGGTTCAGTGGGATACAAGCGGCTCTGTCAACTTAACGTTACGGAAGTGTGTATTTAGCTTCCATTAAAGCTTATAATAATTTACCTGCGAGCTACATGTAACAGTAAGATAGCAAGGTGTTACATTTGTGCACCTCACCTTAGGAGCCCTTTAGTTTGGCTCCACCACACAGCAAATGTGACCAAGTTAAAACATTATGGTGTCTTCTTCACACATGCCTGCCTCCCCTTATGGACCATTGTGTTCATAGTGATATGTATGTTATAGCAAACACGTTTACATACAAAGCTTTCACCTAGCATGCTACCTATTCCTTCAACAACCGATGACACAACTGATTTTATCAGGGTGTGGATACATGGACACGCACAGTCCTGCAGTTTGACTCTCTAGGCCCGTTTAATTTTGATTTAAATGTCCTGGAGTTGATGTGTCTGAGCTCAGCAGTGCAAGTGTGGCTTAGTGTAAAGGTGCATAAATGAAAGCTGCCGTTACAGTCAGTGTGGTTCAGGTTAAAGTTGGGGAAATGGAGGCTTGTGTGTGTCGCCGCTAGCCGTGTAGCAGGAGCAGCGCTGGGAGGTCTGTACCACTTATTTCAGGTGGGTTCTGCACTAATGAGAGGAGATAACCGAGAGAGGCATACCTTTAACAGCAAGGCCTTCGTTCTGGCGCCATCTTCTTGAAGCCTATGAAATCCAAACAGTGAACTGCAAGTAGAGGACAGACAACACACAGGCGGTTCCGTATTACTTGGGGGGGCTAATCGGTATTTGTTGTGTTCAAACTGCGCGAACAAAGGTACATATAGCAGAAAAGAAGCGGGTGAGGCGGTTCACACAGCAGATGCGCTAACCTGTCAGTTCCCACCAGGCTCTCTTTTTCTTGCGCTGTTAGCTTCGGAAAGTCCTCTTCGATATCAGTCGCTGTTCTCGACGCCATTTTCTCCTCGTCATTACCAGCAACGCCGAGACTCCGGGCAGCAGCAGAGGCAGCGGCGGTGAGCGACACTCCGCACGATTTCATGGGAAAGACACGGGACGATCGACGGGACCGAGTAACTCCGGGCAAAATGCAATAACAACGAAAGAGTTGCACGCCTATCCAGGACTAAAATGGGGCGTAGCGTAATTCTTGCCAAATCCTCAAGGAAATGATCCCTTCAAGTTACCTTCCACACTCCTCATTGTACATCACAACACAGCGTGTATTCCAGTGCCAGTTTGTGCATGAAGTTGATGTCACGTTGGGTGTTAGGAGGGAGTGTTACTTGGTAATATCGCAAACTTCCCCAACCATCGGCTCAAAGTTGTTGTAATTGTGTCACATAGGCAAACGCACGCCGCCACCGTCGGCACGCCCTCCGTCCGCCCCGGCCAATCAGCAGCCGGCGTGTGCGGTCACGTGGCCGTCTCCAGTTGATGTGTTGCGAACACGCGGACGAACACGCGCGCGCACACATCGAACGGGCGCTCCAAGGCCCGCCCCCGAGGCCTGCGATTGGTTTCTCGCGTTATATTATGATTACGTAACTGTATTTCAGAGCAGCCCATTGGTCAGGACAGCTGTCATGTTTGTCTGTGGGGGGGCTGTCAAGGATGTTTGTTGCAACGTTGCACATAGATAGATAGATAGATAGATAGATAGATAGATTTTTTTTTATATGTGATATAATATTTATATGAGATTTTTTTATTCATCAAACCAAAGGCCAAATCACATAAATAAATTATTATATTATTATTATTATTATTAAGGGACACTCAATCAGGCAAGGGACTGTACTTTACTTGTAAGGGGGGAGGGAGTGGTGCAAAAAGGGGGAGGTATTTTAAATATTTTTTTAAGCACCGAGAAGAGACATGCTTTTTTATTTTTATTTTCTCAAGAGGGGCAGGGTTCCCACACATTTTCATGGATAAAATTTCTAAACTTTTTCATGACTTTTCATGGACACAATATAAAGAATTTTATTTTTCTTGCCCCACTTGTCTCTCGTTTTTCAAACATATCTGATTCAAGCTCTTTTCAAACATAATGTCAGCTAACTGGCATAGTTTAGTAGCGATTTATTTCAAACATGTAAGTAGTAAATAAACAAATTGTAAGACAAAAAAAACCCAGGTTGCTAAAGGAAGCATGGAAACTGAAAACAACATATAATGATTTGATTTACATGGCCAAAAAGGAGTGGGAGGAAATACAAACTTATTTATTTACACCCCTTCTCCATATATTAATAATAACCAATTATGTAGCTCCCCATCAGTATAAAGCTGTAGAATACTTAATTCTCATGTTCTAATATATTAAATTAATTACCAATAATATTTGTCTTACAGCAAGATATAAAGAATTACAAAAATACTGAAGATAAGATATCCTTTATTTATCCCACAGCAGGGAAATCTGCAGCATTACAGTAGCAAAGGGACAGTGCAAACAAGAAGCATCAGAAAAATAAAATACAAAGCAATATCTAAGCACATAAAATAAGTACACTGTACAAAAGCAAAGCGTAGTATAATAAGCCGACTATAAAAACACAAAGCAGTGTAATAAGGAGGCAACAAAAAGAAGCAGAATATAATGAAGAGACAGACTGAATGGCTGATTTTATGTTATTGACCGAAAGAAGTGTAGATATTGCAAACTTTAACAATACTGATACAGACAGGGAGAGATGAGCTTGAACAAATTTTTTCTTATGTTACATAACGTGATAGGTTATCCATGGAGGATCATTTTCACAATTTCATCATACACAAAGAAACTCAAACTTTTTCAAAACTTTAAGTGATTTTCTAATTCTAATTCCATGACTCTTCCAGGACTGGAAAATTCTAGTGTGATATTCCATGACTTTTCCAACTGTAGGAATGCTGGAGGGGCACACAGAATTAAATCTGTGTATTTTGTATTTATTTTGTAGAGGCTGTGAAAACATAAATTATTATTTTTGAACACATCATGTGCAAAACATAATTAAATCTGAGCTTAAAATAATGATATTCCATCAAAATGACATTATTCTGTGTCTCATTTAAAAGCCTTAAGGGTCAAAATTAAACAAATGAAAAAACAAAGTCACATTCCAGCCACACTGCTCCTCTGATAAGTTAAGAACAGTCCCTAAGTACGAAACAAAGTAAAATATAAGACATAAATAAATGCAAACCAATCAGCTAGACCACACACTAACATTTAGACTTGTTCATAATAGTGTCCAATGTGCATTTGTTGTCATCTCATCTGCAGGTTTTGTGTCCATGACAGTTTATGGGTTTAAGCCAGGTTTTGTTTGGCTTAACCTCCCACTGCAGACAAAACTGTAACTTGCTGAATAAGCATTATCATATTATCAAACAAGTTCTGCACACTAACCATTACATATTAGTACACATGGGAGGTAATGCAATTATGTCATAATTAATCTGTTGTTATTAGAATTTAATGGCATTGTATTCAACAAAATAAGTTACTAAGGTTTACTATGGTTAACCCTTATTTCAGGGAGGTCTCTTCTTCATGGGCACATCTGATGGTGAAGACTGCTTGGCCATATTTCTTAATACAGCTGAGAAGAAAACATTGTACTTGTGACATTTACTTTAAGGGGTGGTTCAGATTTTTAAAGTGGGGTTGTATGCGGTCCTTATCCATAGTCCTTATAGCCTTAGTCAGCGCATCCCCAGTTCAGACAAGCAGGCTGGAGTCTGACACAGAAGATGAGCAATATACCGCTGTGAATGGGGGTCAGCAACAAAATGTATTTTAGCCACCTAAAAAAAGCAATACTAATAATACATTTTATCTGTAGAGCACTTTTCATGGTACTCAAAGACGCTTTACATTTGTTAAAAACAATCATAAAATACACACAACTTCATTCACACATTAAAAGCCTTTTTGAAAAGATGAGTGTTGCTGAGTGATTTGAACTGGCAGAGGTCGGTGCAGTCTCAAATGTGTTTGGTGAGAGAGTTCCAGAGGGAGGGGCGGCTATGGAGAAGGCTCTGTCACCTCAGGTTTGGTGCTTGGTCCTGAGTGGTGGAGTCAGGAGGTTGGCATCAGAGGAGCGGAGACTGTGGGAAGGAGTGTGGCGGTGGAGCAGGTTGGTGAGAGGGGAAGCCAGTGGAGGTTCTGGGGGACAGGGGTGATGTGATCATGGGAGCAGAAGAGGTCTGGATGTATTGGAGTGTAGGACTATGGATAGTGTACCATAAAGACATATAGAATATTTGTTTAAGTGTACAATATATTGTGAGTATTTTCACTGCTTTACCTCTCCATCAGACAGCCTGTTCCAATGGGAAAGCCATTAATGACATCAGTTCTGCCTCTATGCTCTTGTCAAAGCCACCAGACAAAACAGTCATTTTAGCTCACTGACCACAGGAGCTGCTGGTCGACCACTACTACGATCAGTTAGTTAGTTTGTGTTACTGTGTGACTTTGGTGAATCTGAACTAACTCTTTTAAATATCAAAATCCCATAATAACACAAACAAAATGACTGATCGAGGCAGTGGTAGACCAGCATCTCCTGTGTTCAGCAACGTTAAACCATTATCTTTCTCAATGGAGTCTGGATTGGAAGAGAGCAATAAGACAGCCTAATTTTCCAGCACTAAATCACTGTCTGACATTAAGGTAAAGCAGTGAAAATACTCTGAATATAACACACACTTAAACTAATATTGATTTTTCCAGGTGGAACTTTTTTAGGTGGCTTGAAGACGTTTTGTTGCTGATCAGGGACGTGCTGACTGACATCTACTGTCTGTGGATAAGTACTCCTATACAATCCTACTTCAAAAAATCTGAACTATCCCTTTAAAATAGATGTTTAAAACACAGTATTGGTACAATTTTCCCAATATCTGTGACAAACCTCTATATCTGAACTTTAATTACTGGAGCATTTGAAGATAATCAACAGTCAAACTCCACTGTTGATCCTCTGAAAATGTCTCCACATTACGTTCTATGATTGATTTGTTTCAGTTATCAGCAACCATATAAAAATACACCTCTGAACAATATTAACCTACCACAGATATCCATAGCACATCACCAAAATATATGTTGGAAAGGAAGCAAGATGGACCACAAAATATAAGGTAAGTCTTTTGTAAACAAGCAATGTTAATTTGCTTTTAATATAGCAGTTTTTTTCAACCATCCCATAATTCCTTTTCCTAAACCCACAATCACTTGAACAAATATGTTTTTTATAAAAGCAGATATTTCTGTCAGGGAGAGTTTATCTGTTAGAACAGACAAACGCTGTAGCCTAAATGTGCTAGGCTACTCATCTGTTGTTACCTCCGCCAAGGAGGTTGTTTTTTTATTTAGTGTATCATGGTTATGAAACATTTTCCCATTTAGAATAGGTTTAAAATAATTCTGCAGGTTGATCTAGATCTAAGTTTTATTTCAGTATTTTTATGATTAAACTTTTTATTGCTTTTTCAGCAATTGAACAAACATGACATTACAAATGTAGAAACAACATTCAAGATTAAAAGAAATAATTATAATAATAATGATGATAATTAGGAAAAAAGAAAAGGTCATGCACATTCTTCTTCTTGCTCCTTTCTTTGTTGTATCTCTAACAGATATCATCCTCCCTAAGCCCCAGCCTTGACATTTATTACCTCCGCCAAGGAGGTTATGTTTTCGGCGGCATTGGTCAGTTTGTCTGCAAAATAACTCGAAAAGTTCTGAATGGATTTTGATGAAATTTTCAGGTTGATAAGGGGAACAAATGATAAAATTTTGGTGGTGATCGGTTGAAGCAAAGTGGATAAAATAAGAAAATGGTGGGAAATCCTTGGTGCTTGGTGGAGGTCTGCGCTCTCCGAGTGCTCTAGTTTAGATATTTTTTTAACCTCCTGACACCTGAACTTTTGTTTGGTATGCATTTTATATTTTCCCCAACTATCTGGGATCAGTAGGACCTGATAAGTATAATGATAATGATGATAATAGATGATAATAAAGTCCTGATGTCTTCAAATGAGCCCTTCTTAACTAACAGCATCTTGTTACTGTTGCTAAAATCAGTCAAATTTTATGTCACACCAAACTGCAAACATCATTAATCATAAATAAACAAGTTTCAATCATAAAATGTGTTCAGGTTTTGGATCTTGTCTACTTTTATGTCAGGATCTGCTGCAGACTGACTTGGCAAAGATGGCTGCCATCTTGTTTTTACATGGATTAGTGTATTGTGGTCTTACTACACTAGATGGCACAGAAAGTGTCCACAGACGAGGACAACAGGTCTGAGTTAAGCAGAGTTACGTATAACATCCAGTAATGTCTCAGAAGGATGTTAGATGTATTATTAATTGATTACAGTTGTTAGTAGTATTCCTAGATGTACAGTTTTGCTTGTTTTTATTTTAATATCTTTTAATAAATCTGCATCAAAATCAGTTTTATTAGCAGAGAAAGTGTGCATGCATTCAAGGAATTTGACTCCAGTTTTTGTTACTGTCAATGCACTTACACAGAAGTAGAGCTAAGAGCTATAAACAAAGTTGCACTTCACCACAATGATATTCTCACACATGAACCACTGTCTGCCCAGCTTGACTCAGACAGGCAAAGCTCAACCAACACCAGTGACAAAACTGTACAAACAAGTGTTAAAAACATAGGATAAAAAGCCAAATTCATATCATCATTGCAAAATTTTAACAAAATATGATTTTTTTTTTAAATTGGGAAAATATGATCAAGTTACAGATGTTTTACTTATATATATAAACTTCTTCATTCATTAAACATAATCGGAACCCATCTACCAGATCTGCCTCCAGGGGGGATTTTAAATACCACACAGAAAGAGCAGCTTTGGAAAGTCAGCCTTTTCCAGTCGGACAGGACACACCTGAAACACTGTACACACAGACCTCAGGAACATCACGTCTCTGAATTTATTCTCCAAATCAATAAAACGGTGGTTACTGGACAATCAAACATGTTGTCGTGATCTGAATCAGAGGTTATGTCCTGGTTTTCTTACTGTATGTTAGGACCTATGTGCTTTTGTACAGTACTTTTTCCTTAATGTGCTTTGGTTTTATAGTGATGTCACTGTCTTGCTAATTGTGCTTGTGTGTTGTTGTCCTTGCTTATGTGCTTTGTGCTTTTGTGCTTATGTGTGTTTGTTTGTGGCTGTGTGTTTTGGTCTATGTTGTGTTTTATGTTGTACTTTTGTATAGTACGTTCTTAATGTTTTTTGGTTATACGGTTATGACATTGGGTAACACTTTACTTGAAGGTATCTACATAAGGGTGACATGACACTGTCATAACTATGACATGACACTGTCATGAACTTATAAACATTATGTTTATGTCATAAACATTTATGACTGCTGTCATTAAGTGTCATTCGGTTTTTGTAATGACAAGTTGATATTGTTTGGGTTGTCTTGATTATGACAACTTGACATTAATTAAAGTGACATTACCAGAAGTTGTCTTTGTCATGACAACTTGACATTAAATTTGTTTGGGATGTCCTTATAATGACAAGTTGACATTAACCAGGATGACATGACCAGAAGATGTGTTTATCATAATAATAATCATTATGTCAACTTGTCATAAACACAAAAATATGTATTTCTTGTTAATGTCAAGTTGTCATGACAAAGACATCCTCTGGTAATGTCGTCCTGGTTAATGTCAAGTTGTCATAATAAGGACATCCAAAACAAATTTAACGTCAACTTGTCATGACAAAGACAACTTCTGGTAATGTCGCTTTGATTAATGTCAAGTTGTCATAATCAAGACAACCCAAACAATGTCAACTTGTCATTACAAAAACCAAATGACACTTAATGACAGCAGTCAAAAACGTTTATGACATAAACATAATGTTTATGAGTTCATGACAGTGTCATGTCATAGTTATGACAGTGTCATGTCACCCTTATGTAGATACCTTCAAGTAAAGTGTTACCTGACATTGTTTTATTGTTTTTGCTTATGTGCCTTGTGATGTGCTTTTGCCTATATGCCTGCTCTGTGCTTATATGCCTGTCTATCAATTCCTTTTTATCTGTGCTTCTGTGCTTTTGTATGTTATGCTAATGTCTTTTTCTTAAATACAAATATACCATCAACCTGTCAGTGACTGCAGATGAAAATGAGCCTGTATGGCAAAATAAATCTGGCACATTATGTGACTTAAGTGATCATGTTAATTAATGTGCACCGTTCCTTTCTAAATAAAATAAAATAAAATAAACATAAAAGCAAAGACAGCCAGGATAAACAAGTCGAGTATGGAGTTATTAATTTAACAAGCTGCTTAGAACAGTATAAACAGCAGTATTTACAGACATAAAATCATAATGACTATTCTCTCTGTTCAAATCATCATTGTTATTATTATTATTATTATTATTACAATTACAGTGATTATGTTGAGGATTATTATGGTCTGTATCTCGGTGTCTCTTTTAGCGAGACCGTCAAATTTATGCAAATGACGCCGGACGTGAAGGCAGCTGAGGACAGAGCAGCACTCCAAAATGGCGAACCGCGACAAGGGTAAGCAGCGAGCCTATAAACTAATTACATCTCTGTGTGAAGCGGGACTACAGCTATTCTCAGCATGAAACAAACAGGAGACATGTCTTGACAGTTTTATCTTACATTTCTGAATCTGTAAACATCCGTCCTCCCTCCCGACATGTCCAGAGAGCAGCGTTTACAGCGAACTTTCCAACTGTCGCTTAGCTTTAGTTGTGTGATGCTAACTTCTTGTTCAGGCCTCAGAACTTTACTAAGTTGTGGATGGAGCTAACAGAGGAGCTAATGCTAACTGCAGCTGTCGTCTTCAAACCCCTGGGACTTAAACACGAGCTGTTTATTACTTAGTTGTGGCTGTATAGTGTTTAAAATGTTAAGTTTATAACAATAGATTAATTTAATGTGGCAGTGCTGCTTTTAAACGTGCTTCATAGCATCATGACTATGTTGCTAATGTGTGCTTTTCATTTAGAGCTGGAAGAGGAGATTTACGACAAGGTCGTGGACCTGACAGAATATGCCAAACGGCAGCGATGGTGGAACCGGCTCTTTGGGAAGAACTCGGGCCCTGTAGCAGAGAAATACTCGGTGGCCACTCAGCTAGCCATAGGAGGAGTGAGTGGATGGTAAATATTCTTCTTCGTCATGCTTTGTGCTGCCTTCAGGTGCTCCTCGGTAACTCTGCAACTGTGTGTTAGAAACATTTTGATTGGCTCAGAAGTAGTTGCTAAATCAGGTGTATAACACATGGCACCTGGAGCCTTGGATTAATGTCTGATTCACCTTCATCTCATGTTGTCCCTTTCTATTCCTACAAACAAATTCACCCCCCTCTCTCTGAACATAAATTCAGGTCTGGGTGTGACTCTGGACTGTAATTCTGACCCTGGAGCAACATGTAGAGAATATAGTCCAGTCCTGTTTTTACCAGCTGAGGAATATCTCCAAATGTAGGTCACTTCTGTCCTTCAGTAACACAGAGGAAATCATACATGCTCTTATATCCTCCCGCCTTGATCACTGTAACGCCTCGTTCACCTGCCGAAACAATCACACCAAACATCAGCTCCAAAATTCAGCAGCTAATGATCCTCACACATCACACCTATTTTGGCCTCCCTGCGTTGGCTCCCAGTCTCTTTCAGAATTCATTTTAAAGTGTTTTAAATAACACAAAGGGCTCTCGATGATCTAGCACCAGAGTATATAACTGAGCTTCTCACACCGTACTGTCCAAACAGGCCCCTCAGGTCTGCTCATCTAACTATCCAGAGTCCAGGTTAAAGACAAAAGGTGGTCGAGCCGTCTCAGTTCTTGCTCCTTGGCTTAGGAACAGCCTCCCACTGAGCATCAGATCAGCTGACTCTGTTCACGTCTCTAAATCTCGTCTGAAAACTTACTCCTACAGGACGGCCTTTCCTGACAGTTGATAGACTTATTGTGTGTGTGTGGGAGTGTGTGTATGTGTGCAGCCATGATTACATGTCTGCATGCATACAGGTATATATGTGTGTAAGTGGATATGTTGGTGTAGGTGTATGTATATGCTTCTGTTTTATTAGTATCCCGTTCAGCCCAAAAAGTGCTTTACAAATGAAGTTATTACTATATTATTACTGTCTGAATGGAGAGGGCTCCTGACAGTGTACTGTATATTCTGCCAGGCATTCTGCTGCTGCAGCATGAGTGTGTCCTGCAGTGGCGTAAGGTAGTTACCACGGCCCCAATGCACGCTGCTGTGACGGGCCCTAGTGCATGTTACCTACCAGTTATAAAGTATACATGCACACACCAGCTGTTTATAAAAAAAGTCAAATGAATGTAATTTAGGGAGCTTTGCTGCTTTTTCCTCCTTTTCGTTTCTCTCTTGTTCGTTCTTACTGCTACTTTTCTGTTTAAAAGGCTCGACTGCTCGCTGGACCTGCAGATGAGCTCAGCTTGTCATTCTTGACAGATTTTGCACCTAAACTTGCTCGTGTATCGTATTGAACACAGGTGTAGCTATGAGGTGGCATCTGAATCATTCACAAGCTCAGACAAGCTAGTTATAAAAATAAATTCCATGCTTTCTACCTTTTTAGATTGTATAAATGTGCAGTTGGGGTATCAGGGTATCATACTAAACAGTGTTTTAGTCATAATTTAAATGTTCATTGTCGTGCAAACCTTACAGCGTTCATTTTAAGGCAAGATAAAACTCTCTTTATCCTGAGGGAGACTGCTGAGCAGCAGTTGCAATACAAAGTGGGAAAAGTGTACATATGAAAATTTAAGATAACAATATGGTACAACTGTGCAAGTAAGGTGCAAATCCAAAATGCATGCAGTGCCAAAATCAGGTTAACAGCAGGGATCAAATATGAGGTATAGGTAATGTAAGAGTACATTTTCAATACATAACGTTCCTGATGTTTAGTTATAGTTGAAGTCATTATTTATTAGGGATGGGCAGATCCATCCTGCAGGATTGATACTTTAATACTCACAAGCTACTCATCTGGTATCGATTCCTTTAAAAGAATATCAAGAATATAATTGTATAAATAAAAAACATGGGTGGCTGCATCACTCCCGTGCTTAATGTTTGTGCCAAAGCAGCCCTGACATTTAGCCAGCCCTGGTCACGTGACTGTGGAGACCTGTGTGACATCACAACAGCCGCTCACAGTGGCACACTTCCACATCAGACATGTTGGAGACTGGTAGAAAGGAAACATAGCTTGGTGTGGTGCTGCTTTTCAGTCTTTAGATAGAAATACAGCAAGATGCACAATTTGTGACAAGAAAGTGCCACACAGCAGCAACAGACACACCCTGAAAGTTATAACAAGGCTGAAAACAAGATAACGACAATACGTTTTTATTATTGGTCTATATGTATTAAAAAGTATTATCATATAAAATTAAAAAAACTTTGTTATTGCCCAACCCTACTTTTTTGTCAGATTAACCATCATGCTCTCTCTGGATTTAATTTCAGGTGTGCAGGTTATCTCTTCCAGAAGGTTGGTAAAGTGGCTGCGACATCTGTAGGAGGAGGTCTTCTTCTGTTGCAGGTATTCTTTCATCACTGGGCGTTTACACATATGAGTAATAAGAAATGAGAAATATTTTTATTTTTTTTTTTTTTTTTGTGAATCTGCCTCTCATGTGTGTTTGATCTGCCTGACTCTTTCTCCAGATCGCTAACAATAGCGGCTACATCCAGGTGGACTGGAAGAGAGTAGAGAAGGATGTCAACAAGGCCAAGAAGCAGTTAAAGAAGGGCACCGATAAAGCCGGCCCAGAGCTAAACACATTTTTCGAGAAGGTATGTTTTTTTTTTAAGATATCCATCTGTCACACTTGAAAATGAGAAACCTGGGAAGTCCTGAGGTGTGTATCAGAAAGCTAGATTAGTGGGTTAGCGAGTTATGTTGAGTCAAGAGCCAGGGTTTTGTGTTCTGCGAAGATGGCTCTCTTTTAACCTGGTTAGATCACCATGGTAACTTAAGCTGCAGACCTAACCAGGCTGAGACCAGTTACACTCTTGCTACACCTTGATGTAGGGTGCTTCATTCAGCTGTGAAGGTGACTACAAAGACGTAGTGGGAGTGGGTAGGGTCCGGTTTTGGAAAGGGCTATCATGTCTGACTGAGGCTTTAGGGTTTGTCCAGCCAGCTAAAACTGCAAAATTCCTGCTTTGAGTTTGAGACCTTCATTGTCTATCATACTCTCTCTCTTTCTCCCACGTGTCCTGTCAGTATCTAAATTGTCACTGTTGATTAAAATATTGCTAAAAACAACTTTATAACTTAATCAGCATGGATAATTAGACTGTAACATCTCTGTAAAGGACAGGATCATTTGCAGTAAACCTCCTACAGACTGTGAGATTTTAGCAGCCTTATAAGTTTAGAGCAGCTACACTGCAACATGGATCCAGTAAATTTGGGTATGACAACAGTTTGATGTCTACAGACTGTTTGATGACAGTGCCTATTGAATCACAGGCTCCGACACACAACAGCTTCCCATAATGAGTGCTCTAGGATGCTGCACAGGTTATTACTTCTCCAACTGTGAAGCACAACATAGAGGCTCACATTAAACAATAACCTAAAGTGTTGTGGGCACTATATACTGCGATGTGTGTGTGTTTGCTACCTGCGATGTTGCTCAGCAGCCGCTATTTCCTTCCACGCTTTGTCCTTCTTTACAAGATCATGGTCAGAGCTGGAGGACACATCACACAGGCAGGGCTTCTGCTGCCACGACTCCACAAGGTTTTCATCTTTGCTGGAATCCCACACATTTCTTTTAGTGCGTTTTGCCTCCATTGCGAGCTGCTATCTGTCTGTTTGTTTGAGTTCAGTGCTGATAAGTACGTCATTTCATGCTGCATTTCTATAGGTGGTAACAGCAGTCACGCAGTGAGATGGTCATCCCAAATTTCTGATACTGTCAGACTTTTATCCCAGGCTGTCTTTGATCAATCGTGACAACGGCCATCCTTGAACATCTCTTACTGTGCGACATAGGACGATCGTTTTAGAGCCATGACCAAAGATACCACCATGTTTCTGTCATGATGATCATCTTTCGAGACAACCCATAATTGCACAGCGTATACTGGGCTTTAGTTATATGTGCTTTGTTTCCAGCCTCAGATACAGCCAAGGAAGCAGCTAACTGCAACAACACTTCGTTACAAGTTTTTGATAATATTGCATTTCGTTGTAGAATCAGAAAAAGCTTAATAACTTGACATTTGGTTTCAGTATTAAGTATGAATTATTTTCAGTCTGTAAATAATTGTGACTTTACACACTGAACCGTATTTTCTGTCTCCTTCAGTCCACAGAGTTTGTGAAGAAAAACATTGTCGTCACGAGTGGTTTCATCGGAGGATTCCTGCTCGGCCTGGCATCTTAGGCCCCGCCAAATGAGAAGAGTCTGTATTCCTCTGATGTTGAGGAAGAACTGTAGGGAAACATTATAAATCATTGCTGGAGGGTTTTAAAGTGTTTTGGCAGCGAGCAGCCTGTTTCAGATTAGTTTGTAGCTGTGTGTTTCTACATAAGCTGCACATCCTTTTGTCTACTTTAATACTGCACATGTGACGAGTACTGTCGATGTAATATGGGACTTCCTGGATAGACCAGAATGACCCTCTTAAAAACAACTCCGCTCTCCAGGCCAAATAATACTGATACATATCACGCTAAATTAATTTAAAAAACAGCGTAAAGGCCATGAGAATGTTTGTATTTATTTATTTTTACCAAACTGTCATTGTACCACAGAGAAAGATGATGCATTGTTGTCGCTGCCTTGTTGTGCACAGTTGAGCCGAGCATGGTGCAGCTAAGTGCGTTAGATTTAATTCACCTTCACGTGGCAGGTGGTGTCCGTGGGATTCCTCCAGTGCCAGTGTTGTATTTTTCAGTTCCAGGCGTCAGTAATCAATCATCTTGAGGGTTAAAGTGCTGATAGATTTAAGATTGTTATGCCTCTCTGAGAGGTGCCACATGTTGGATGGGCTCTGTCAGCCTCCCCCGAGTCTCTTTTTTTAAATGTGTTGTGTGCAGCCATAAATTGATGTGTTAAGTACTTAAAGCTGTGGTTTGTCTTCAATGTAAGTTTGATGACTAAGTAAAAATTACAACATGAGTTAAACTGTTTGTCATTTGTTTTATGACAGTTTATGTACAAAGGTACAAGTGTGTCTTTTACCCTTGACCTAGAGTCTTTGATGTCTTTAGTGACGTAACATGTTGCGTGTTTATGATCTGAGCTTGGTTTTACTTTCACTTACAGATTCCTGTGCACAAAATCAGGCCAGCTGTTAGAAAATACAGACAAGGGGATGACATTTTCAAAAGTGGGCCCCTCATTTCATGCATATTTAGTATCTACTTGTATCTACTGTAAAGACCTTGTTTTCTTACTTTGAAAAGCAGAGGTAGCCCCGTGTGTCATGGGCTGAAAAAATGCCTCCAGTGAATGATTAGAGAAAAATAAAATCAAACATTGAGGAAATTATTGCAAGGTATTAGATCATGAGTGAACAATTTTCTTTCTTCGTGTAGGCCTATTTATTCAATCTTGATAGCTACTTTAATTAAATATTGGTCAAATTGTGTGCAGAACTGAAATAATGTAAATCAACAGGGTGACAAGATGAATTTAAACAGTGAACGTATATTCTCTCTTTTAGCTTTAAGTCTAGATGTTGGTAGATTTTTGTTGTGTGATCAGTGTGAATGTGTACGTTGCTTTAATGTAGCTGATAAACATGGTGGTGATTTTAGTGACTTTAACGCCTGAGTAGCTTCAACTACAATAATATTCATGATATTTAACAATTTATTTGTTGGTTTATATTTTCTATTAATAATCTAAATCTGCAAAGTAAGTACTAACTAATTTGTCAAATAAATGTAGTAGAGTAAAAAGAATATTTGTCTCTAAAATGTAGTTGAGTAGAAGTATAAAGAAATACTCAACAGCTGCACAACAGCATTCAGGTAGGGTACTTTACGTTTCACCGCTGGTTACAGATTTGGTGAAGATACATCAAAAACGTTTTCTTTTTCTATGTGGTTTTGAGACAATGTTAAATTTGTGCCAGGATTTAAGTTTTTCCCATAAATTTTATATAACAAATTGCACATATCTCTCATTTTGACAATAACAATAACCATAGTGCAAAAATAAGCCATTGGGTTTACTTTGAATAAATAATAAAAAGGAAAAAATAAATAAAAGTATCTGTAACAGTACAGACTATTTAAAAATCAGGGCCCACATACCATTAGCACACAGCTCATAGATGGAAAACAAGTGTCTCTTTTTTAATCCAGTCCAAAGTCCAAAGATAACTCCAAGAGAGCACTTCCTTTATAACAGCTTAGATCACATTTCAGTTACATATGATACAGTTAATAAATGCTATGACAGGTTTTATGGCCTTTTATATTGGTACATGATTCAATAGTATTTATGTAATTTTCCAGACACTTTTGGTTTTTAAATATAAAATTCAGCAAGAATAATCAGTAGATTTATGATATATATCCCTGACATTTCCCATCGTAGGCAAAGAATCAGAATATTAACATAGAATAATGTAAAATATCTATATTCACAATGCTAACAGTTAATTTGTAAACAGAAAAAAGATGAGACACGGTTTCTGGATGAGTCGAACAAAAAATAAAATACAATAAATAATAAACAATTACATCAATATCCTTCTTAAATTTCTTTTATTTTGTGCACATACCTGCTACAACTTCCTTCCTGTTATGAACGTTGCTAAGAGACGCCCCAACAATACGTTTCCACGGCAACCGATATCTACTACAGCTGCGTTACATGAAGAAGACCTGTTTTAAATATTATACAGCGATGGCGTTACCGTTTCTACCCGGGAATTATCCCAGCAAACAGGTAAGACTCACTGCTAACTACATTAAATATGTTTTACTGAAATGTTTTGACTTTCTTTAGCTCAGGTCAGTTTGTGTAACGTTAGCCTTACTACAGAGAAGTTAGCTTGCTAAAGTAGTTAGCATGCTAGCTCCCGAGCTAACGAGCTAACTGTTTGAGAATGTAGCAGTTAGTTTATGTGGGTAGACAGCTGATAGAAAGCATGTTAGATACAAGTTAAAATGACAAAGGTAGCCGTTAGACACAGGTAAGAGTTATACTCACCTTGTGGTGACGTCACAGTACAGACACCTGATATTAGTTAAACCATAAAACAACAAACAGCTCAGCTCTGTAGGAATGTACCCTGAAAATAACATGGTTCACTTTTAAATAAAGACCAAATAACTTTGTTTTGGATTATTTATTATTTGTATTTTTATTCATTTATTTTTTGTGTGAAATATTTTATTTTTTCCCATATTTTGGCTGACATCCTTTTTTTCTCCTTTTGTCTTTTTTTCTGCGCAGTTTTCTTCCCATTTACTTTGACAATATGAGGGACTTGCCTTATTGTTGTAATTATAAATTGTTCAATAAAGTATAGCAAAAAATAAAAGTTAAACCATAAAATAATATGTAAGCAGTGATTTGGCTTTAGTGGAGATTCCAAGTTTTTTAAGTTTGCATTTCTACACTGAACAAGAATTTAAATACAACACTTTTGTTTTTGGCTCCCATTTTTTTTACAGGTTTACTCAATTTTTATGCACTCAATATCTCAAGTTTCGATTACAAATTTGTTAAAAATCTGTTAGGGAGCACTTCTCCGTTTCCAATATAATCATCCACCTGACAGATGTGGCATATCAAGATGCTGATATAACAGCATCATTACTACACAGGTGTACCTCGGGATGGTCACAGTTAAAGGCCACAAAATGTGCAGTCTGTTATACAACATAACGACACAGATGTACAAGTTTTTAGGGAGTGTGCCATTAGCATGCTGACTGCAAAGATGTGTCCACCAGAGCTGTTGCCTCTCTGTAGTGAGTGTTCATTTCAGGACCATAAGACATCTCCAATGTTGTTTCTGTTGATCTGGCGGTACATCCAACCACGCTCACACACAGAGGTCAGTTACATTGACAACCTGCTGTCAGGTCAAGACCCTGGTGAGGATGAGGAGCACGCAGATGAACCTCCAGGAGATGGTCTGTGCAGAAATTCTTTTGTTGCACAAACCAACCGTTGTGGATGTGGAGGTCCTGAGCTGGTGTGGCCACACATGGTCTGTGGTTGTGGGGCTGGTTGGATGTACTGCCAAATGAACTGAAGCGACAGGTGTGACAGCCTGAAATGAACATGCAGTTCACTGGCGACAGCTCTGGTGGACATTCCTGCAGTCATCATGTTAATGACATGCTCTCTTAGAACATGCGTCGTTGTGTTGTTTGATCAAACTGCACAGTTTAGAGAGACTTTTTATTGTGACCACCTGAAGATACATCTGTGTTGTAATGATGCTGTTTAATCTGCCACACCTGTCAGGTGGAGGGATAATATTGGAAAAGGAGAAGTGCTCATTTACACAGATTTGAACAAATTTTCAACCAGATAATTTGAGAGAAATAAATTTGTTAAGTACATAAAAAAGGCTTAAATCTGCAACTTAAACCTGTGAAAAATGGGAGCTAAAACGAAAGTGTTGTGTTTATGTTTTTAATACTTTATTGCAACGTTTCCTTCAACATCTTACAAATATTTTGTGCAAATCATTACTAAGTCCATTTCATATTTTTATGCTTTTTTTTTGTAAATTAAAGCTTCATACATAGAGGCAAGCAACCATGCACAATTACACGAGTTAAGAAAGAATAAAGTGCAAAAGAACAAAATATGTCATAACCCTCCTCTTTATTATTAATAAAACCAACAACAGTAGTAGTTAAAATTTAAGAAAGAAGGAAAAAAAGGTGTGCATTTAAATTTTTATGTTCCGTTTATTCATTTACATATTTAATTATTTAATAACTGTTGTGCATTTGATATCAATAACTTGAGACTAATAAGTTGTTTTAATAGTTGTATACCACAGTAATCCCACATTACAGTATGTTTGATACCATCAAGGTTGGCAGTTAAGGAGATGTGCTTTTCTTTCTGTACTGCAGCTGGGGAAGGAGAGATTCCACAAATCCCAACATTTTGACTTTTCCAATGGAGTCCCGATGCTGGCTGGATCAGAGAAGCCGGGCATCGGAGGAGAGCTGTTAGTCGGCCAGAAGATTAAACCAAAGTATTCTGTCTACCCTAAAGGAGACGGCAGTGCTTTACCATCATGGGTCACCTTCGACAAACAGGTGAGCTGATCAGTTTTTGTGACAGACACTCTTATTTTTGTCCATAACAGTTGTATCGAGTATTTGTTTTATGAATTCACGCTACCATTTAGCAGTGGCTTTAAAACTTAATATGTTGCATACAGCACAGATAATGTATTATTTTAGTTCAAATCCATAATTTGACGACGTCTCATTCAGAAAATACTCTTTACTTTTCCCCCTCCAGGCTCTGTGTTTTGATGCATACTTTCAGGAAGCTGTGCTCGATGCACGAGATGAGACGTACAGAATCAGGAAGTGTAAGATCTTCTTCTACCTGGAGGATGACACCATACAGGTGGTCGAGCCTGAGTACAAGAACAGCGGCATCCCTCAAGGTGTCTGTGACATCACAGAAATGTCTTGTGAATGTAGCTCACATGAAAATATTTGATTTATAAATATCATTTATGATGAGTAATTTATTGTGGGTCCCTTGCCTCTGCTGTGTTCTTGGTCCTTGTGGCAGGAATATTTATTCGTCGCCAGCGTGTCCCACTGCCTCCCCCAGATGATGACCAGTTCTACAACATTTTTCATTTCAACATCAACCAACAGATGGTGCTGTACTCACGCACATTCACTGTGACCAACTGTGACGCTTTCACAAGGAGCTTCCTCACAAAGCTTGGGCTGCGTCTGAATAACCCTGCCAGTGTGCCTGATGACCCCTACTGCAGCCTCCGAGAACAGGTGGGCACCAGAGTCAGACCTGTTTTGATTTGTTTGTTTCAGGTTTTTTTTTTTTACTATTTTAAGGCCTTCTCCTAAAAATCACACTGGCAGAATCAAGTCTTACATATAAAATTAGTTCACATCAAAATAAAAAAGCCGATAATATCTCGAAAAACAAGACAC